TGACTGTGAACCCTGAAAATAGGAAAGTGTGGGATGCGACTTTACTCTCATTTTGTCCTGACAGGCCACAATTGGGTAACATCCATTTGAAGTAGTGTTCCTTGTTGAACTGCACGTTCTTGACCATAAACATCATTAAGATGTCATATTCTAGACCGTGCCCCATTTGAATGTGCAGTACAGGTGTACTGTACAGTAGGTACGTGTACATGTGTATGCATGTGCACATGCGCTGGTGCATTATCTGCATGTACATGTGGATATATACTAACTGCATACAGCACTACATTGTATAATCTAATGTTCTGCAATCACATACATTGTATATTCGTGTGCCTGCATGTACATGTACCGGTACATGTACATGTTATTCTTGTGTGTCTGGGGTCAGACACATGATATTTCACCTATTTTCTGGGGACTGCAAATGTTATTCATCGGGACACAGAAATGTCCCCAACTCAGTCCAAATTTGTCTTAACCAAAGAAATATTCCCCTCAACCTGGTGACGGTCTACCCTCATGTACATAAAAATACATGTACAAGTGGTATGTACACATACATGTACATGTATGCAGAGTAATAAAATCGGAATTCCAATGCACTGGTACATATACATGTACATACAATGTAAACACATGTACATCTACCTTCAGTTTTATCATAGCTTTGTCAAACCAAATGGTGTGTGTGGACACTGTGTCAATAGTTGACTAACCTGGGAATTGACAGGTACCTGGAAAAGTCCCTGGGGATTTAGTGTCAATGATAGGCTTAAACTGCTTTCAGTTTTTGTAGTTTTTCTTAAATCTTAATATACATAATAAATACATGTAGTCACTCCTTGTTTGTTACTCACAATATTACATGGAGATTTTTCAAATGGCTGTTGAATGGGATTGAATGCATATGTACATGTATGCGTGTGAGAAATTAGGCAGAATGACCCATAAAATAATGCTGATGAAATTTATTCATTGACTCAAATGTTTTAATTATTTTTACATGCACACAACCTTTTTTTTTGGGGGGGGGGTTGCAGCCACAACTTTTGGACATGGAGTCTGTGGTAAAGTGCATGTACATGCACTACCAACTGGTACATGTGTGAAGAAACGGAGCCCCAAGATCATTATAGTTCCATGTAGTTCCAAACTACATGTAACTGTTACATTTTTGCGTACACGTATTCTATTTAAAACACACTGCAACCATGGCAGTCATGCAGATTTGAGCATTAGTCATGCACAGTGTACTTGACGTCATCTGTTGAACTGCTGAATGTGACTGTTCAGCAGATGTCTGGTATCATTCAGTAGGACAATCACGTTGTTGAAAAACACGGCACATCCAAGTTTTTTCAGCAACCTGCATGCCTGATCATGAGCCTCGATACATGTACCCGGTAGATGCAAAATACCTGCACATGTACATGAACATGTACATATATGTGCTTTCTCAGTACCGTAGTCACTCGACAAAGTTGAACGATTATACTGTGCAGATATTGAGCTGATGCCTTTAAAACTGTGTATCGTTACTGTACTTGTGCTAAACGTACATACATGCTATGTACATGAACATGGGACAGACTGGGATTTCATTCTTAAAGAATCATGGTCATTTTCTTCAAAGATACCGGTAATCCGGTGCACCAAGGATGATACATGTACCAGTACCAACTGGATTGGTAGACTGAGGCTATTGATTTTAATGTTGGTCGTGCAGCATATCTTCTGATTTTTTTTTTAAGATAAAAGATACATGTACGTGCAGGTACATGTATATATGTATCAGTTGACATTTTCAAGTGCACTTTTTTCATTCGTATTTAATTCCAGCTGAGTACACATGCTTATAAAATTTTCTCTGAGAGTTGAGATTGGTATTCACACATACATGTGCATGTAATGTACATGTACACGTACATGGCAATTGAAAGTCAACCTCAAAAAGAGGACAGATTTTCACACTTTTTCCCCTTTGTGAAAAAGGAAATTCGCAACTTACTTCACTAGTGAGAAAATTTCTCACATCTTTTTACACCAGCGGGACATATTTTCAAAGGTGGGCAAAATGTCCACAGCCATTTTTCACAAGTGAGAAAAAATTGTGAGTGTGGATGGGAATTCTTTTCCCAGTTTTTCCCCAGTCATTTTGCGCAGGGTTCAGTTCCAGTTGCAATGTGCTGTTCATGTACAAGTTTACGTGTGCACAAGTACGTGTATGGCATAACTTTCAAAACAGTTCATGTTTCACAAAACATGCGGTTCATTCAGTTTTCTTACCGGTACTGTGTCAGTCTCGTAAGGTGTTCCGTTTCAATACACTTTATGAGGTGCTGGGCCCAGGGGTCCCTATTTTACCCCACAAAATTCGACACCTGTACATGCAGGTACATTTGAACTCTTAGTGCCTAAGACAGGTTTGAGTTTGAAAATTCCAAGATGTTTGGGGCCAAGACCCTAGCAACAGGTTAGGCTGTACGAGGCTTCATCCAAATTATTCAGATACAGTTTGAAATGCGTGGACCAGTACCTGTACTGTATGTACATGTATGTACTGGAAGTATGTGTACCAGCTGGCCGTTATAGCCACTTCTCATATATGTGTGTGTGATTGCTAGCTACTGCAGACTACCGGTACATGTACAGCTAACATGGATAAGACTTACATGTATATGTACATGTATACATAACTCCAGCCAGCCTGTTGCATGGTAGGGATACATGTACATGTACATGTAGGTGTACCAACTGAGTAGACATACACAGGGCTTTCCTTAAGTGAGTATTATACTCACTTCTTTTGTAGAAAGGAGTATTTGCAACTCCTGAGGTAAGAAATCTGGAAGTGTTTCACTTCATGGAGTGAAAGCAAGGAGTATTTTTATGTCTTCTAATAAATGATTATGAAATCAAACTCACTACATGAGATTTGGTTGACATCTTAAACATAAAACAAGCTCAATAAGATCGGCGAGGATGCTCCTGACGACATTGGAAGGCGAATCATTGTCGATGTCATGGCTAGTTTTGCGGAAGAGCTCCGACAGTTTAAATTGTCTGTACACCATTTTGACAACAGTAGTGTGCGCCGAGAGAGGGTTACTTTTGAACGATCGATCACTTTATCAATGCATCAGACGGCGTTGTATGGTGCTCTGGGCTGTGCTACACGCAAGGCGTAACAATGCTTTGATCGGTACCAATTTGATGTAATCGAATCCAAAGTGCACACCGCGCAGGCGCCATTCACATGAACAGCTGCATTCCGTACCGCCGCAGCACACTGTATTGCACATATACACGTACACGCTTGCTATAGTGAGACATCGTGCACGTCGCCGTGCTTTGCGCCAAGCGACTTCGAGCGAGTGCTCAGTCATTCAAGTGGAAGGCTTCCCATCAAGCCGTGAGGACGAAGTACCGGCATGATTGAGTGGCATGATACGGCTAAACAGTTACACTTACAATGTACCGGTATTTGACATCCTACAGTAAAAAACGTAGCATTTTTAAAGTATTGAGGGTCAAATTGAATGCTTTTTACGTTAAGTTATTTTCATATTCTCCATTTTCATCGCGTAAAATACACCAATAGGCACGTAATGGAAGCTCTGCATAGTTGTACATGTGCATGTACATACCAGTATTTTTTTAATGCTATACCTCATCTACCAGTTCACGGGTTCATGAGTTCATGACTGGAGGTTTTCTTTTTTGAGTTTTTCCAGTGGCTTGTTACAGGTGCATTTGTGCTCGTATTTGGTTGTCCATGTATGTACAGGTAGGCATTCACCGCGTTCAGGGGACAAGTTCTTTTGTTAGGGAACTTTGAACCAAGTTGTGGGTGAAATGTCGAGTGTACTATATGTCCCCACAACTACTGTACGGTGTGGGAGCAGTAATGTATGTCGTGCACTTGTGCAGCTTGAAATGAGACTACAATTATAAACACACACTAGCATGTTTATTTGCAGGAATACAAATGTTCCAATGTAACCATGTGCGCACCAGTATTTTAGGCCGCAGTGAAATCCCAAGAACAAAATATCATTACCACTTGGGTTGGGGAATGCCCTAGTGTAACCCTTACTTGTACTTTTTTATTGCACTGAGTAGGAGTACACGTGGTACAGGTCAGAAAAAGGTCAAAATTCCTAGCTGGAGTACGGGGCAGCGCGGACATCTGGGAGTTTCACAAAATTGCAGGTAACAACCACATCGTTCCGCTGAAAACAACTGCAACGAGCGCGCGTACGGACTGATCAAAGAAAAGATTATGTAACCCGATCCTCAGATTGGCTGGTACGTGCGTACGTGTACGTCACCGTGGTCACTGTTTTCACCAGTGCGATACCTGCCATTTTGCGAGAACCCCAGATGTCCGCGCTGCCTCATACTACAGATGTGTAAAGTGCTCTCCAGTGTACACGTAGTCCATACCGTCATAAGACAAGTCACTAGTGTTGAAGTGGCAGAACAGTGACAAAGGAATCCCTTTGCTGCTGGTCAGTTGAAAGGCTTGCTGACCTCAGTACCAACTGACATGCCTGGAGGTCTTGTGTTGATCTGGTGATATCTTGTGATGCTACTACGCTCTTTCTTTTACCATAATACCGGTATATGTATTAGACCCAACAAATTCCTACACTCTCCATTTAACACAGAGTATGAATGAAACAAACCATTTTTTAACAGTGTTGTGCTTCCTACACTCTCCCAGGTATAAAAGTACGTACATGTATACCGGTATGTATGATAATCCAACCGTGTACTGTACACTTCATTGAAGTTGTAGCAGACTATCATTTTCATTCGAAGCACTTTTGCATTAATGTGGGCGTGTATCAGCAATATGCACATGTAATATTTAGACTTGTGCATGTAGGCCTATGTACTGTACAGTGCACAGTTTTTCAACAAAGTCTAATACTGTGGTGCTTAGTTTGTCTTGTAACCAAGTAAATGTGACTTGTAATTTTGTTCAATGGCAGGACGGTGGTTCGCTAGATTTGGTCATGAAGAAAGCGGAGCACAACAGAATACCAGAAAGAATCCTGGGTAAAGTAACAGTCGCGGTGAGTGAACCTCCATAGAGTTGATTCCTTGGACTGCTACATGTAGCTCCTCTGAATGCCGACATTGTAGATAACGTACATGCACTGGAGTGTAGTCATACACTCATGGGGGAGGAGGCGGGGTTCAATACTTCTTCCCCTGGAAAAAAATCACTGCTCCCCCAATCTGTCCACTACTCGGAAATTGGAACAAAGAAATGAATTACATGTAAGGGGAAAATACCAGTAGACGTTGCTCCCTTTGAAAACAATTTTCCCCTTCTCTATATTGAATGTACATGTACCGTACATTTGTAGATAACAAAAGGAGGTCACCATGTTACACAATGATTGTTAAGTTTGTTTAAAAAAATATGTGGTCTTTAGTCACATGTATAAACAGAACAAGTGCTTGTAAAGTTTGTAGTGTTTATAGTATATTCAGTGAATGTGAACTGTTGAATTTTTTCTGTCCTATTTCCCTCTTGTGTTGCAGGTTTTGAGAGGGTTACATTACCTCAGAGAAAAGCATGACATAATGCACCGAGGTGAGCTTTAGTGTATTTGTGATTTTTTGGGGTCTGGCTTTGCAGCAACGATGCTGTCCACTTTGCCGGTTTATCAATGTCTTTGTCATTCGTCAGTTTGTGTTTTTTTCCCCGAAGTACTGAGAATGTCAGAAGTCATTATCTGATTGCCTGTTGTGGAGTAGGTTAGAAGAAAGAAAGGCTCCACCCAGGGAACTTGATATCCATGGCATGGAGTCCTTGGATGAGTGTTCATGGTCACAGAAATATGCTGTTGTCAAAGAACCTACATGGAGATGTGACATTCACGAGAGGCATTGTCATAATCTAGCCAGTCACAAGCCAAATGGCACAGTACGTACCTGTATGGGAGTATCAGGGGCGAACAGTGACCAAGGAATGCTGACTGTGGTTTCATTTGATTTCTGACAAGTTGTGACTTGTGACTGACTTGTGGGGCTTACTCTACAGCTCAGATTGGAAAGGGCACCCTAGCTGCCCAGAAAAAAACGGAGTTCATACATGTACTTGGGCAGTTTCATTGAAATTTTAATCGAGATTCCTAAATACCTGGGACAGTTTCCCTATTCAACAATGCTGAACGTGACGCTGTCTTAATAATGCCCATTCAGATTTGGTAATGCTCACGTATAAAAAATGCTCTGGTGCCTGGATACGAGACAGTTTAGTCCATCCCTAATGGTCAAGGGTCTGTGAGGGATGCGGCACACAAAACGCACCACGTGCATGTCAAGTCCCTATGCATTGTATGGATACTTTTCTGGACAACTTGCACAAGGAATGTACCATAAAATGGACAGGGTGTTTGGGAAAATGAAAGCAAAATTCTAGAACAAAATTGTTAGAAATCTATCATACATGTACATGTATATTGAGGTCTTTTGACTGACTAAAAAAAGGTATGCAGAGCGTGAAATTACGGTCGGACATCGGACATTTTCCGAGCATTTATTGTGTTTGTCCGAACAAAATCAAAGATGCCCGGACAAATTGTCTGACCTACATATCAATAACAGCTGTTAAAATATCAACACAATATATGGGATTATGGTGTCCGATTTATTATTTATCAAGACTGATCGCTCATCACTGGCAGTGTGCATATATGTGAAATCGCCCCATAATTCTTGGGGCGTCGCAAACATTCATGTTTCACTGTCACAGTGGTGAAAACACTTGCGCAAAGCTCTATGCAATAAACAAAGCTGCTCTGGTTCCCATCGTGCCGCACCCCTGCAAAAGAATGCGTGATGGAAATGTAGCAACCGGTACCACTTTGTACTGTACATGCACTGTACATAAACACTCTTCATCGGCCGTACACATCGCAAATGCAAAAGGCTGCAGGCCGGAAAGACATTGATGTTACATGTATGTTGGAAGAGGTTTTCTGCGAGTTAATTCACAGAACTTGGTCTCTTATTTATGTCTGTATTTTCTGTGTTCATGAGTGTAATTTTAAGTTGTTCTGCTTGTGGCACAAAGTTTAGTGCCCACTGGTCTGCATGGATCAAGCACACTTACATGTACCACGCGATACACGAACATTGTTGGCCAGTTTGCCATCGTGATTGCCATTTTGATTGTGTGAATTGTTCATAATTTTCTTGTGAATTGCCGTATGTAAAAATTTTTACATAGATTAAGACAGGTGTTCATCTCTTTTTGAGATACTTTTGGAGGCTGTCGACCCCACTGATGCTATTCAATCAGCACAAAATTGCCCCGAACAAAAAAATGTTTCGACCTACCTACCCAATTTTTGAAGGCATGCACAGCACAAGTCAACTATTTTTTTGGCGTAATAAAAGACTGCATGTATGCAGTAGGCAAATAACCATAATAAATGTGGATTCTGAGAAATCTTTGGTAAGTGTTAATCCAATTCAAGCAAGCAAATTTATGACATGGCCTGCCCGATCGGGCAAAAATAACAAAAAAACAAATCATCGCAGCCTGCGCCCTAACAAGGTTTGCTCAATGCGGCTGCGTGTGTGGTTCTGGTAGGACCAGGAAAAAAGTTAATTTCGACCCTTGACACTGCACGTTACAACTCTAGCTTTTATATAATATGGCAGATCAAAAGCTGGTAATAGCAGAGCATAATTGATTGTGTGATGACATTTTGTCCAAGCACTTTTTTGTCTAATTTTCGCGCTCTGGTATGTATGAATGGGAATAAATATGCATTTGTGGTTTAGGCATTAGTCGCGACTGTACCCCTGAGCCAGTCTTAAACGCATGCATCACATGCTGAATGCTTCACCTTGAAATACTCGTATGCACCCCTTGAAAGCACTGCCCCTACACCAGTGGAAGCACCTCAAGAAATCAAATCCAAAAATCATCACTGCTGTGGACTTCTCCAAATATTCCTGTGGGCTTTCCTCCCAGGTCTTGTGTCCATGTCATGCCCTTATCTCTAATCCCTCCCACGTAGATGTACATGTACCTGCCTTGGCTGATCTTATTTCAGCCGAGGCCAGGGATCTTTTCCATTTACTCTCTGGGTAAATCTGGTGTAACAAGGGCTCTGCCTTTGACATTTGCTAAAAGGAGAATCTTGTTTTGTGTGATAAAAAAAAGAACAGCCAGTCGTGGAAAATATGCGTTAAAGGATTGTAAGTCATGGCTTTTGTTGCAACGTAAAGTGTTTGAAATACCGGTACATGTAAGTGGTAAGTGAATATACTGGTATGTACATGTACATGTGTGCGGAATAATCCTAAAGAAGTGCATTGTCAAGATCATTGTAATATTTTCTTCTCCGTCGGGAAAAAAATATTGACATTGCCCATGTCTGCTTGAAAAACTCATCTCAACTCATCAAATTTCAATATGAGTTTGCAGATGAGGAGGTGTTCATGTACATGCTGAGTGAACTGTTCACAGAGTAAAATTAGAAATTTAGAAATACCGGGCAAGATTTCTTTTTGAAAGACACATCAGAATGTGCCTTGAAGGAACATCTGCTGGCTCACCCGCCGCCCTAAATGACATAAACAATAGCCACTTTGTTAGTTTTTGCCAGATTAATTCTACCCTACTCTAGTAGCACCAAGATTAGTATTCATTGGGAAAGGGTACAGGTTAGTGCATTGCCCTTGACTGTCGCGGTGTGCCTGGCTCACTCTCACAATATTCACTCATGGGTACATAAAAACCTGACACTATCCCCCAAGTCACACTGGATCGTCTGGGGCTGAAGGTAATGCTTCGTCTGCATTGACGTCAACCCAGGCACGTAAGCACGTGCACACACAGGCATGCATTACGTCTGCTCGTAGTTTTTCAGGAGTATCTTGATTTATAATGGCCCGGTGATGACTGCCGGCTGTAAATCATTGGAATCTTAAGGCTGACAAACAAAATCGTGGATGAAATGAAGGCCGTTGTGGTGAAGGATGGCATCGGATGTTGATGAGAGCAAGGGGAAGGATATTTGTTACCAATACCTGGTGATATGATACATGTACATGTACATTGCCTGATTGACTTTAATCACTTTCCAGTGTTTTCCAAAAGAATAACACTGGCCAGTAACACTAGACCACCGGACTTGTACCGTCATGGCCGGCACAAAACTGACATCAAATTCATTGGACACAGTTCGGCAGTCCTCTGCAAAATTCGAACCTTGCTTGCTTGATGACACATGACTCGTGTTTGTGTACATTGACACAATGATGGCGTGGGTTCTTTCAAGCTGTGGAAATATGAAGAGAAATGCCAATGTGAACATTCAGGCAAGGTGCTTGTTGAAGAAACCACATGTACAATCTCAGAAGTCAAGGAGAGATGTTCCCTTTGTGAGTTGCCTCTCTGTCTTTAGGCGCGCGTACATGTATATGCAATGCAGACTATTTTTAGGCACTGACTTAAGCCTGGCTAGGCAGACAGGTGATTCCATAATCTGAGGCAAACTACACATGTAGTATATTGTATTGTGTTTTTGTGTATTGATAGACAAATAATAAAGTTGTGCCAATGCATTACCATTAATCTCTGCCATTTGTGGCAAATGGCAGAGAAATTCATACATGCACATGCACACTCATTCTAAACCTGCACACAACAGGTGCAAAGTTGTACAACATATTGCAGACAGTTACATGTGAATATACCAATAGCTGATAAAGATTTTGTGCACATGATGTGTATTCTTTCCAGGACCTCCAAACCCCATGGACCAAGTCACATTTGACAACAGTATGGTTTCATTCCATTTCACTCTTACTTTTCTATTTGAACAAGGTTTGGAGTGACATGATTTTGTTTTTCCCTCATTTCATTTTTGAAGTCCGGTGTTTGGGTGCTTAAGCACACATTGTTGCAAATACAGGGATGCCCTAGAGATTACCCCTGCATGTATCAAATGTACATGTAATTCTTGTGGAAGGTCAGTGTTAACCACATGTACTGATATGCTGTATGGAGCAGAGGCAAATATTCAGTGAGCCGTTACCAAAGATGTACTTTGCGTTGGGGAGAGATGATGTAAATTTTTAAGTGTGGGTTTTGCCCGTCACGGATGTGTGTTCGTAGTACTGTGTGTTCAGTGAATTGTCCAAGAGCTTGCGAAAAAATTCACAAGCTTACTAGGATGGGACTCAAACCCACGACCTCCTGTTCGTCAAATGCAGATGCAAAGTTCTGGTATGTCTTTGGAAATACGAGTAGTTTGCGGTGCCCTCTGCTGTTGTTCATGTACATCTGACTCGGTAGGTCTGTGGTCAAGTGGTTAAGACATCTGGCCTGAATTATTTTTTTCGGCAATTAATTTGTCCGAAATGTTTTGGCGAGTAAATTCAAAATTCTCTATTTGAATAGGTAAACCTATGCACTGGACCATGTCTTCCCTCGGGAGCATCACATCAACAGCATTGTACGTGTAAATTGTCTAGGAAAGCATGGATAATTCCAAATGTAAAAAAGATAACTGTACATGTACCTTTCAGTGTATTTAATTTTCATACATTGAAGAAGAGTATAAAATTGCAGAATTTAACTGTCTCCGAAAAATATTGCGGCTACACTTTAATGTACCGCACCGGTACTAACCTGTACAATGTACATGTACAGGCACGTAATATCTGAGTTGAATGGAAATTTCTACTGTACATATACAGCATGTGTACATATATGTACACGTACGTGGGTCTTTATTTCAATATGGGGGCCAATGTGTATTTCAGGGACATCACAATTATCATGACCATTTAAAAGAAGACTAGTTTCACCTTCCCATTTAATTTTCATATGTATTTGTCAATTAATATGTCTTGATTAAATTCATTTACATTAAAAAAAGTTGAGTTACACAAAAATTGCAAGGGGAAAAACCTCATCGTTTCTCACTGTTTTTTCGGTATTTAGTGTGACATTTTTGATGACCTGTTTGATATGACATTTCATACCACTGGCAAAACAAATCAATCATTTATTTTCTAACTAACCTATCAACAGAGAGGTAAATTATGATATCGAATAATCTCCAAATGGAATTCATTTTAATTGACAAAACAGGTGTAGTCATAATCTGATATAACAACGTAACATTTCGTTCCTCCAGTTGTTACGAAGTGAAAATCATTTTTGGCTGTTAAAAACAAACAAAAAGCTGTTGCAAATCATTTCCAAAACCTAAAATATCAACTCTAAGCACTCCCCCAAATACCTCCTACTAACGTGTGTCTGAGATCCCAAACATTTCTGAAGATATCCCTGTCAATTCTCGTCAAAAAATATTTTGGTTACTCGCAAAATCGTTATGTTGTTAACAAAAAAGTTCATGCAACTTCCAACGTTCGCCCGAGTTGGGATCATATTGCAACCCTGTGTGCGCTGTCACGTGATCGTCACATGACATAGACATGCCAAGTTCCCGCCATTCCTTCATCGGCGAGAAATTTCAATCGAAGTTTTTGTTACTCACACTTTACGCTGTGACAAAAAGTTACGGGCTACAGGTTTCTTCTCCAGACATGAAGGTAAAATTTACCTGAAAATTAACGTATTTGCTGAAAAAAGGAGCATGATGGCCACTTAAAACTTACAAATAAAAATGAGCGTATGGAAGAAAGGAAACCTTTTTCCCCTTCGAATCGGAAACGCTTGTCGTCGTCGCCATTTTTCATTTTGTGAGTTTACCTGTATGCTAATGTCCGTTAACGATGTCATGACGTGTAACAGAGAAACCAGTTTCTCTGTTACACGTGAAATGAGTCGTAAAGCTCTTTAAACTAAAAACTTCAAAACACTTAATGTTTCTGGCAAAGGTGCACAAGCTGAATGGCATACATAACTATGAGCTGTGCCATATATTGGCTATTTAAGCAACTTTGTGTTAAACCAAATGAAACTTTACAAAATAATTCAAAATATAGCCAAAAAGTGAATTTTGGGGGAAAATGTTTGCCCATTTTTATGCCACCTGAAACAATATCTAGAAAAAACAACTTGTGATGAGAATGTACATGTATGGTATGCACTCAAAACGAAATCGGCAACAGTTGAAAAGAAACCTTTACTAACCAAAAATGGCATGCATAGAACCATCATATTTGGTTTCGCTGTTACACGTCAAATAATTTCCTGCACCACTGCACAAATTGAGTCTGTACGCGTCAAGTAGTTATTCAAAGCAAAAATCATTTACATTTATTGCATGTATGTTTTATCAATTACACATTCACAAGTTTTGAATTTGTTCAGACAATTTTGAAATTTTGACCACCATGTCACACATTTGGCCCCCTATTTAAAATAACGACTTACATGTACCTGTTTGGCTCAGTATTTTGGCTTTTAGCTTAATGGAGACATGTACTTGTACATGTGGGATGCACGTCATTCATCCCGCAGGACACATGCTGTCCAAGTCGCATACATGCATAGGTACATGTTCATCATTCGCATTGTCGGTTGCATAGCACATGCCATTACATGAATGTCCAAGTGCGTCACTCCCGATCATTATGAGATTGCCTATCAATCCACGACTGCCTGTCAGTGTGTCAAGAGGGAACTGAATGGAGTTGTCACAATCAGCTGCTGAAATGTGCTTTTGTGTAGGCATGTCTGCCTGACCATTGTGGGGACAATTAGGATTGCTTAGGATAACCTGGACATGTACCGGTACATGTATACTTGGACTGCAAATGATATGATTATTGTTGTTTTATGTCCTCAAAATGCATGTGGTCTGCACAAATACCAACCAATAAGCGTACATGTTCTCAGTATGTACCAGCACTGTGTCAATGTACTACATGTACGTGTACGGTACATGTACCTCGCCTAATGTATTATTCAACAATATTGCTCTGACAAATGTGTTAGATTTTGTCTCTTACAATTACGGTACGTTCTTAGTATGTTCATGTACTGTACATGGATGTCATTTTGTTGCCTTGCCTAATTTGAAAATGGTGTCTCACTGAAAGCTTCTTGTGTAACAAAATGACATTACTAACACTGTGGTGTGTGTGGGCAATTTTGACAGGTTTTTTGTTGAGATGCATATACGTGTAATGTAGGAATTACGTGTACCATACATATAGCTCGGGAGTTTCTGTCAGCTTCTTGACTAATGTGTCATTCTCTCCATGAGCGTTTTCTCTCAAGTTATCACAAGCATGTTTAATATGCTGTGTACAGATGTGACTTCATCATTTTTCAGATTGGAGGGCAGACTGACAGATTTTATATTGAGGTGGCACCGCATTCATCAGTCTTTTTATATGCATTCGTGAGATGTACTTGCATTAGACAAAAAAAGATAAAGTTCTACGTCTTGTTGCTAAACCTACTTTGTTACAGCTCAACCAAAAGCTTTTTTTTGGGGGGGGGACATTTGGGGAAAATGTCAAATTGCAAATAAAGAAAACAAATGTGGCTATTGCAGTTTGAATTTGAGGCACAAAGGGTCGGCAGGTTTATTTATTGATTGTGCATGCGTCTAGTACCCTTATAAAGCTTTCTTCATTTATTTGAAACAAATGCCACCTGACCTTTCTTGCTGTTATTTGTAATCACTTTGCACCAACTGCACCAGTAGCTGCACATTGAAGTGGTATTAAAAAGTTGGAAAAAAATTCCTATCTACCGGTATCCAGATGTCATGCAATAGAAAGCAGAGCTGATTTTATTCCCCTTATTTTTTGGCCACTTTGTGGACATCTTATCAAGAAGAGGCATCTAATATTTGGACAAGGCCCATGCACAGGAGCGAGCAGGTCACCGGTATTTCCTGCTGGTTCCACCACTGAGGACAATATACTGACCACCGAAGCAACAAAAACATCTCTGTTCCCTTTTTGTTCTGCCCTCTGTGGTAAAATGAAAGGCCCTGTCCAAATTGCTTGGCTGTGGCTTGAAATTGCCCATGATTCTATGATAGTCGGCTGTAGCCCCTTTCCACAAAGATGTGTACATTTCCAAGCCGCAGTCAAATAATTCTGACACAACCTACATGTAAGCAAGTGTGTTGCCCTTGCAGTAGTGGCTTCAAATTTTCATCACCAGATTGGTGTAGATGAGAATATGCTAAGGCAAAGCGGGAATTTGCGGTAGCATCATGTAGCAATTCCTTTTTTTGAGGTTGCCAAAAGAACTGAGGGAAGTTTGGGGAACTCATTTTCGTGAATTTCAAAAAAGAACCATCTTTTCAGACTTTCACAAAATCACCAAAGAGAATTGCTGCAAACTTACTGCCGTTGCTTGACTCAACCCTGCAAACTTAAAAAAAAATCTTATCAGACTGAGATTTGGCTTTCTTCCCCCTGCCATCCACAGATGTCAAACCCTCCAACATACTGGTCAATTCCAGAGGAGAGATCAAGATGTGCGACTTTGGGGTGAGCGGTCAGCTCATTGACTCCATGGCCAACTCCTTCGTCGGGACAAGGTCCTACATGTCGGTAAGCTGGATGGATTTTTCCTTATCTCTTTGGCGTGTGGAGCTGATATGAATGCATGTTCTGCAGCAGCATTTCTTACGGCTGCATTTGTTTTGACTAGTCTGATTTGATTGTATAGTGTGCGACAATCCAAAATTGTCATGTGCCCGTAAATGATCGCCATCTGTATTGGCTTTTCATTTACTGGCCCACAGTAATTTTGTTTGATGCAAAATATGGTAAATCGTACAAAAGTATTGATTCAGTTATCCAGTTTCTTTACACTGTTTTAAGCTGGCAAAATCCATGATTAAGTTTTGAAGTATTTTAAAGATCAATCACATTGGTGATTCATAATTTCACTTTTTGTGAAATGTAACCCTATGTAAAAACTAAATAAAGATTGCTGCTGACATCAAACGTTTGAGTTGTAGTCCTTCATATCAGGCAACTTGAAAACAAAAGTCATCGGGAGCATCCAATAAAAGCCTGTTTTGATGATGTCATATTACGGCTCTGCAATTGTACGACTGTTTCATTATTTCGGGGTGAACGCACCTGTGTGCATGAGCACTGTGCTTGCTCGCACTTAACTTAGCGAATAAATATGTGCTTGGCCGGTCTGAAACGTGCGTTTAAGACCGGCTCAGGAGAGCGGATGCGACTAATACTCAAGCTGCAGGTGAGTTTTGATGTCCTGGGTCCAGTTTTACAGCGCTGGTTAGCACACAAATTCACGCTAACAGATTTCAGGGAGACTAAAAGCAGGAAGCACAGTCAAAGGCATGCCAACCCTGGAGGAAAATTTGCTTGAACTTAATCACATAACAATAGAAATATCTATCTTTGCGCAGCCTTTAGAACAACCATGCCAAGCACAGCCATGAAATAGTGCTTAAGGTTAGCCAGTTTTTCTGCTTAAGGTTAGCCAGTTTTTCTGCTTCAGGTTAGCATGACTTTTTTGATAACTGTTTAGCCGCTCCAGGAAAGTGGGCCCTGATTTGTTGTAGTGCAATGGATGTGTCAGATGTTGTTTTCCTTTTAACAGTAGTGTTGGATTTTTCATACCGGTGCCAGGAAGGTTCTTGGTAGAGAGTTTATGAGTTGATTTCATTCTGTCCACAGCTCCGCCTGTGAACGTGCTATAAAAACCTTTAAGGAATGCCAGTGTTAGTTCCGGTCACTGACTGTAGGGTTCATTGTACTTTTCAGTGTTTTTACAAGTGTTTGCACAGGGTGTCAGACATGTAAACCCTCTGATTGCATTGGAGTGGCAGTAGGACTCCAGCTAATCAAGCTTGTGCATCAGTTGATGCTCTGGTTGGTGAAATCAATCAAGCTTATCTGTTAGCCAAGGGAGGGAAGGGGGTTTACTTGGCCTTGGTTGGAAATTCAAATCACGTCCAAGGAATCTGCCAGCTAGAGGCTTCAGGTACATGTATTTCCTGTGGGCATACCTGTATGTGATATTTCCAACCACTGGCAAGAAATTTGGAATGGCTTTTGTTTGTGTCTGTGGGTTTAGACTGCAGTTTGATGAATGCAGCGGCTTGAGCGGAGGCCCTTAACGTCAATGCAGATCACTCTCTGCTGCGACGATTGTCTAGGTGTCCAAAGTGCCCCTCAGGTTTGGGTATTTTCATCGGGGATGTTCTTCACTACTTAGGGCACAGTTGGCAGTGTTTCAAATTATATAGTTCTGTATCTGTCAAATTTGATGGGTAACTTTTTTCAACTGCTGGCCAATTTCGCTTGGTATCCTGTGTACAGGAATGCATCCTTGGTACCAGAAAAAAATGGACCGGTGGTTTACAGATAATCACTGATTGATCTTTGGCGTTACTGTTCCCTGTGATGCTCATTGCAAAATAGACAAAATAATAAATAGTAAATACTGACAACGTTTCTTTTTTATTCCCCCCCTGCAGCCTGAGAGATTACAAGGAATCCATTACACAGTGCAGTCTGATATCTGGAGCATGGGTCTGTCATTAGTGGAGATGGCCATTGGACGGTATCCCATCCCACCACCGGATGATAAGGAGATCTGTCAGATCTTTGGCCGGCCGTATGACAGTTCAGCCCAGAAGTGTAGTTGTAAACCTCCTGGCAGGCCCATCAGCAGTAAGTGATACTTTAGAATTCCGCACCCCTCACCAGCAAAGAAAGGACAGGCTAGGATGGTGAAAATTTAGTGTACGGCACACAGGCTGAGGCATGTACATGTATATGTTAACATAAATAGGTTACATGCTCCGCACCTCCCATGCGAAATCAGAATCTTTCCTCACAAATTGTGTTTTACTACCAGAGGGACATTGCTCCAAAGTGAAGCCACGCCATCCCTTTCTCTTTACGGAGGGGATAGACTTTCTGCTGGAACTGTAGGTCACTCCGCTGGTGAAAACACATGCATGCCTCCTTTGTGTTGATTCCTCAAGCCCATAGAACTTGTACATGTAGGCACAGCAGGGTGATATCTCATGCTCGGTGATCTGTACATTCACCTCCAGCAGTGTGCATCCCTGTAGGTTTTCAAAACATCATATCCCAAACCACAGCAGTCAACAATTGTTTTGTCACATCTCTGTCTTGATGGTGTGTTCCACCTGATTTTCTTTGGGATATCGAAGGCGACAAAGAAATCTTCCAATTTTGGCAGTTAGCAGTCCCTGCATTATTCTGTAGAGGCGTGTGCATGCGCTTGACATGGAACACTATTGTTTAACGGTGAGTGTGACATGTGGTTATGTCACCCCATCACTAGATCATTTTGGGCCAGTGAAAAGAACAGTATTCTAGACAGAGTTGTGACAGTACAGGTTGCCTTACACGTTGCCATCCAACACATGGTGTACCGTGATTGACATTCGTACCACATTCTGGATGCGTGCCAGATGAGTATTGTTGTTTGGGCCAGCTTGGTGCCTGAAACTTGTCATCCTTGGCGACCATTAAATCCAGGATTCTCCCCACGTACCGGTACAAACTTGCGTATCAGGCCCGATATGCAATTATTTCTGCCCGATACACAAAAGCGGGCCAATACCCATTTTTTCATGATTATTTTGATGGTATGGCTCAGAATTATCTTACATAATGCAGATTGCATGTCCGGAAAATAAAGATGAAAAAGCAGCTAATAATCCTGCATTTTTCAATGTACATGTACATACTATAGGTAACCTACATAATACATGCATTGTGCACCATGCGTCGGCGACCACACTGCACACATTACATGTATATGTGCATGGGCACCAAACGTTACTAGTGGCCAGTGTCGCATGAAATTTGAACTTCTGTCATGGGCATCGTACATACACCCGGGCGCATGTGTGTTTTCTCTGTGCCCTGTGCTCAATATGCGAGTCGGGCTGCATTTACGAAGGTTAAAATTTTATACCAAACCATTCGCAGAACTTACAACATGTTATGTTTTTTCCTGAGAAAAAAAGGAAATGCTCTAAAATGCAGCTGAGAGCATCTTAAGTCCAAAAAATTTCGGGGGCCCTTGGGCGGGCCCTGAACCCCATGCCATGGCTTCGACAATGGAAATCCCCCACAGTTTAAAAAATCCTAGGGAGAACCCTGAAATCGTGTGCATTTGAAGCCAAAAAGCACATGTACATGTAACAGTACTGAGCGCAATGGAAATTTGTGTTCAGGGCAGTAATTTTGCAGGAAGGAGACTGAAGTGTAAAGTTGTGACACATGTACAGTACATGTACAGGTGGTGGTCAGCAGTTCACTGCTGTCAAGCTTCATGTACATATCACCAACAGATATCTCAACAAATTTGAAAGACATCACACTCGATGTTCTACCGTTGATGAAATACCCGGTAGGATGATCTCCAATAACAGAAGCTGGCCTGAACTGAATTGAACTGGGGGCATATTTTGTAATCAACGCTCTGCCTCATTGCCTTCCCAACAGAAATCCCTGATCTCTGTTTGTTAGCCTTTCTATACTTGTTTGTGGTCCATGTTACTGTTAACATTTGCTGTCAGTGCTTCTGTCAAATGAAGCCGATGTTGTCATTTTCCAACAGCATTTGGGGATGCGTCACGGTCCATGGCTATCTTCGAACTGCTGGAGTGCATCGTGAATGACGTGAGTAGTACCCATAGTGCACTGATAAGACAAGACAAGGGAAGGTCTCAAAGCTTAGAGAGCACTGTTCCACTCCAAACTCCACCCACTCCAAATTCCACCCACTCCAAACTCCACCTACTCCCAGCTTTGTATTGCTGCTGAACAGATGCAGATTTTTGTACGTAACAAAACTTTGCAGGGAACCAGTCACAGGCAGTATACTTGGCATTACATTTGTTTGGTAACCTGTCCTTACAAAACACCTATTTCCTATGCAAGGAAAATGCCGCCGCTTTACAGCATGCTGAAATAGGGCCCCGTCATTCTCACAGTAGATATATGTCACTGTGGGCATGCACATCAACTCTGGGATCACATTCTAGCAGGTTTTAATGTTGGTAAGAGTGCTGTATCCCTTACAGAACATTCTGAAGAAGAAACCATATTCTAAGTTTTTTTGGGTGGGAATATTTCTGCTCCTAGGAATGTCAGCACAAGGGATGCTGCAAAGCTGTGTGCTATCCCTTATTGCAGCTGAAACTTCACTTTGTCAAAAACTTCAAACAAATAAAAAGAGTAAACATTGATTTCACGTTAACATTCAGGTTTCTCTTTTTCCATAGCCACCCCCAAAACTGCCATCAGAAGAGTTCTCAGCAGAATTTGTAGATTTTGTAAACAAATGGTGAGTTTTAGTCAAACCACAATGAATAATATTCATTCCTATATTCTATGATGGTCGGTTTTCTAGCATCAGCGTTATTTTCACTTGTACTGTTCTCTCTCTCTCTCTTTTGATAGCTTAATTAAGAATCCACAAGAGAGACCAGAGGTTAAATTACTCATGGTAAGTAACTCAACTCGTTGCTTCTCTGTTGTCTCTCCATAGTGTACAGTCCTTCAAGGCTTGATCATTGGGAAGTCTGACAAGCAAAATATAGCTTAGGTTACCTATTCACTCTTTGCACACTGCCGCCGTAGGCATGCCGAGCCTCGATCTGCCAGCTTTACACGATAAATAGAGCCGGTTCAGTAATTCCTGTGTATGTTACTGGTGTAATTTTGCACGTGCTCTGTTAGTTCTTATACCATGCAATTTGGCAAAGTGATACAAGCTGTCAGTCCGAGGCTCTGCATGCCTATGGTGGCAGTGTTCAAAGTGCAAACAGAGAACCTTGAAAACACACATTCAGCAAGGTCTTCGTGGTATACAGCAGTCACCTCTTGAGCACAGGTTTAGGCTGGAGGGTGGGCGGTGACAGCTTCCATAGTAGGCCCACACTGAGAACTTCTCGTAACTTTTGTGTGTGGTATATACATTAACCACTTCATGCCGGGTCATCCATGTTGATTCTGCTGGGCCGGGTAATTTATCATTTCTGTCTGTTTTCAAAATTCCTCAAAAATTCATAACTTCATTACTGGGTGTTTACACCCACACAAATGACTGTCTGGTGGCTCCTCTAATCTGACAGACAACATCTGTTGATGCCTGAGTATTTCAGCCAGATTTTCCACCTTGTAAAAAGAGCCCAGATTGTGTGGTGTTATGTAATTTTCTTCTGTTCCCAAAACTGCTTAATAGCGGCCAGATTAGCCTGCAGCTCTATTGTATCGCTCATCGCTGGAGTGCTTTTGTCCCCGGTGGTAATCCTCTCGCTCTGATTGCCACAAATAGTGGTATAATCTTTCAAAACAATGACGGATTTCCTCCACTATTGACAATTAAAAAATGTTGGAAATTCCCAGCAGTTCGGTCTTTGGAGTACTGTGTTTGGTTACAAGGCCCAGCTCTGTTGTCCGGTTTCGGGCAGCCCGGCATCAGGTATAAAGAAAACGAACCCGAAACCAGGTCCCCCAGCAGCAAGTGGTAAATAGAAGAAGGAAATTTTCAGCTGTCTGCTGCCTGTACTGAACTCGAATCATTGCAAAGTATATCTTGCTCTAGAACAGCACCAAATGATCCCCTGGCTAGGTTTTTCATTCCATGCAAACATCGCAATAAATAGTAGCTTAGCGTTGGTGCTGTACTAGCTGGACTGCCGACACCTCACCTTCTGTTAGAATAAAATAATTTGGTTATCAATATCCTCCATTGTCAACCGTAGGCCCACTGTTTCTCCAAGAAGTCGGAGACAGAAGAAGTGGACGTCGCCAGCTGGGTTTGTAAGACGATGGGGCTCCGGAAGTCAGGAATGCGCAAGTCAGTCAACTCGGCGCACTAGGCCTTCCGTCGTTCACAGAATCATCCAAGGACTGGTGGGAGCATCCCATTAGTCAGCCCCCAGGACCCCCTGTACATGCATCAGTGGTGTAGTCGAGTCTGGATCTGAGACAGAGGCCAGAACAAAGAAAAGAAGATTTTTTTTTTTCAAATCCTTTGGTTTTTTCTCTCTTTGGCTTCATCTTGAGAGCAGTGATTAGCCTCATGTGTTTACTGTCCAACTAAAGAAACATTCGCCAAACCTTGGTTTCACATTAGACTTTGGATATTTCTGTAGCAAGACATGGAACTGCGCTAATTATAAACTTGAGAATTTCAATTAAGGGGAATATGTGCATAAAATTGAAGCCTGAGGCGAAAGTCAGAGACAAAAACCGATGTTTGGAAAAGCAACCCAAAGTAGGAATGAATTCTTTAAATCATCACAGATTTGAGTTTAAACTTGAGACCTAGCTCTAGCCTGAGTCCAACATATGGACGGCTTCTGACATTGGTTTTTCTGTACCACTGTGCTTTTGGGTGCACACCTTAGGATTGGGAAACAGGACAGCTTGAATCTGAGTCAAAGATCAAGTCCCTAATCTTGTAATTTCAATGTAATTTTTAATACACCCCGGGGTTAAGGCAGCAGGAACCTGGTGCGCCAGTGAAAGCCAGCCTTCAGTGTTTGTGAACAGAAGCACGAGCAAGGATTTCAGATTAGTGCTGCCCATCATTCAGTCACTGCCAGTCGGAACCTGAATTGACCGGAAATGGCATCCAAAGATTGGGGATCTGAGATTTCCTATGTCCCTTGCACCAGTGATCAAGGCTGAGTGCATGTTTTCTTCCCATATTTAAAATTTGACTGCAGAGAATGGGAGTATGAAATGTTTCCTGTTGTATCACAGAATGGGAATACAACGTTGTGTCCAAGTTCTATTTTACCATACGTCCACTTGTTGTGCAGTCTTCTCAAAATTTGGCTTCAAACCAGAGCCAAGTTTTTGTAAAAAAAAAAAGAAAAAAAAGAAGGAATTTCAGCAGATATTTTTTGGCCTTGCATGTTTGTATAATATTTTTTAATTAACTTTGCCATCGAAAAGGAGGACGCATGTTTCTGCTTCAAGACCCGGGGTTTGCATCAGTGGAGTTTTGTAGCTTGCTGAATATTTATGAGCAAGAGGCCTCATTGCTGACCAGGATTTGAAGCCAGTGGAAAGGGGAGCATGAGCTTTGATGCATCGGCTTCTGTGAGTCGCCCTGTTAAGTGTGCAAATGCATGAGCAGTTGCACACCAAGCAAAAAAGTTGTCACAAAACACTATATGTGTTCTTGGTCTTGTTTCGGTAGACACAGCATTGCACAGTTCAGTACATTTCCTTCGTGCATGCAAAGCACATGCTGTTGAGGTGAGTGAGATGACATGGTGAGCAAGGGGAGTATTTTCAGGTGGCCGATGGTGCATGACCTTCGCCCCAGCTGACAAGGGAGGGTTCACTTTCCCAACTATCGCCCCCTACTCCACCCGACATTAAGCACCTATCACAGTGCCTTCATCGGGCACTTGGAGGGTAGAACCGGGGGACGTAATAATAGAGATAATGTTGGAATCCTACAAGCAGCATGTCAGCAGAGTGCGCTGATGTCAGTGGCAAAATGCGCTCTAATATAGATGCCAATGGCAGAAATCTCTACTGATGAGCTAGGGATTGCAGTGACAGGCTTTAAATCAAGCCTGACTTTGGGCACAATTTTGATGCTAGTCATTCCACAACTCCCTGGAATTGGCCTGTACTTTTCTCAGCTTACATTTCTGATGGGAAGAGAAGGTGTGACCCACAGGTTGGCTTTCCAATCGTGATCCCGGAAAAAAGATTTGATGGGAAAGGAATTTGACTTGCACTGATGAAAGGAGAATAGTCAGGTTTGGTGCAAAAAACAGGTGTCAGTGAGCTGTGTTACTTTAATTTACTTGTCTCTGCCCAGTTGAGCAGTTCTCTGGACTTTGTAAAGCCACACAGCCATAGAATTCCGCATGTACTTGGGGGGGAGATTTGCAGAATGTTCGTGAATTTTAATTGATGAAAACGGTGTTGTTTTCATAACTTCCACTTTGTTTCGCACAAGTATGCTGGAAGTACATAGGTAACTGAACAAAAATTGTTTGAATCTATGTGCAAAATAAGTGCAGTGAAATGCACATTTGTTTCTCAAGATAAAGGGAAAAACCGTGTATATGTGGAAAGATTAATTTTGAAACAAGGAGAGGAAGACATCGGGAACTACATGTAGAAAAATATAGAAGCAGCTTGTATAGATGGTTTAAGTTATACGGCATATATATATGTTACAGTAAATGTGGAATATAATTACATTAATAACACAAATGTACGTGATACACTGTTGCTTTTTTAATGGAACTTTGTTCTCTTTATTTCAGTGGAAATATATATATTTCTGTGAATGTATGAAGTCTGTGATATTTACACGTAGAAGTGCTTCCTCAAATTGATGTATGTGATACCAAAAGTGATGCATTTAGTATTGGAAAGTTGTTCAGCTTCGTAGTTTAGCTGAGACCGGTGTTGAATTGGAAGCAGTTTGCTACCCCCAATGCTCCTAGATTGTTTTCAATTGGCCAGAAAGTTCCGTGGGACTTTGCAGGATTGCGGAAGGTAGTTTCCGCAGCCTGGTTGCTGTTACTTGACTAGATGGCTCTTGGCAGTTGAGGTATGAAATCTGGGCTCCTGCAGTTTAATGGATTTTGGAGGATGTAGGATTGTAGGAGTTGGGGTTAAGCTGTGTCTGATGTGTAGGCTACTATTGAGGACTCAGCATCTTCCGCTTACCGACAATAACCTTGGTACCATACCGATAGATCTTCAGCTAGAAAAAAAACACAGGAAATCATCTCAAGTGGTATGGCATCCAGGGTATAACTGGGTACAAGATGCCGCTGAAGTCTTTTCAGTTGTAGCCTTGATTTTGTAAAGTATCAAAGCAATCATTTCAGACGCTGGTGTCTGGGGTTGCCCTCCTTTTGTAATTCTGTGTGCAGTGCACCACGTCATGACAATGCGTTAATCTAAAGTAACATGGTTTGTTTCCCTCCCCGCCTGTTTGTTTGGTTTATTTATAAATAAACATGTACATGTGCATGTTGGACCAGATTGACAAGTTATGTCTTGTAAATAATACACGTATGTGCCATCAATATTGCTGTGCTATTAATTTTTAATTCTTTTTGTCTGTTGCAGCTTATAAACACCCCCCCCCGTTAATATTCCCAAATTGTACATATATGTAATTGTGGCAAACGCTTTGTTTCAGTAGAATACCACTATAATAGAGAGAAAAACGCTTGCTGTTCACTCGTGAGGTTTTAGCATTGTTGAAGTTGCTAGCATTGTGACTCGGCTAAGATTCTTGGCCATGTGTTGCATACAGGTTGGTGGATTCAGTAGCGTGCTATGAACAGAGATGATGCAAACAATCGCAGACAGCCAGTGTTCATGTCAAAGCCAGATGGCTGTGTTGGTGGACCATGTCTGCGGAGGTCGCTGGTTCGAATCCCACTGCAGTTATCTTTGTTCTATTCAGTAGTTAGGAAAATACTTGGGAAAACATGACAAATATCTGTATACCTTTCATGTATGTGCACATATTATCTTGTTTCCGTTTGGGATTAGGTATGTGCATACCTGGGAAACCAAGGTTTTGCCCAACTGTGGGAATGTTGTGTAAGCTGGTTTCCTAGTTGATTCAGTGTTATCACAGTTAAAAAGGAAGGGTTGGAGCAAGTGTAGAAGTGAATGATTTCACCTTCCTGGTTCACATGTGCAGTTACTGTACCATTTGCTGTTAGTCATGACTTATCAGGGAGATCACCGGATTATCCCCCTCAACATTGTCAGTGGCCTTTCTGATTTTCACCGTAAGGGACAGGTGCACACCGAGTCCACAACTGGCACATTTTATAGTGATATTCTACTGTATTATGATTCACTCGTACCCTGGACCATCCTTAGTATTTGTTGTTTATTTGCGTCAGTTTAGGGAGTGCAGATTTTGTGTATTTATGATGATGTATGTTTTTACATAGAGCAATAATGTAACTTGGAGAATTGTGCACAAGCCAAATTCTCACCTGAAGTGTATGGTAACATGTTTTCATCAAACAGTCCAGCAGGAATACCCTGGCATGGATTTCTATTGATTGAAACACTGAATCATGTTTGAAATCTGCTGCCATTGCTGCTTATATTTTCAAAGGAAAACATGAAGACATTCTGCTCCCCCGTGGTATGCATAGGTTTAGCTGTGTTCAAGGCGAGAGAGAAGACATGACAAGTATTTGAAGTCAAATTAAGGTGGAAGATTTATTTTTTGCCATATCCATGTACATGAAATAACTCGCACATATTGGTATTTGGTATCTTGTCAAAACACTATGCCTGACTCAGCAATCTTGGTGAAAATAGAAGGAAATGAGGAATCTCGTGTTTTAAAGAATACGGTGGCATCTTGAAAGTCGTTCACATTCTTTTTTAAAAATTTGGAATTTGTGCCTGGGGGATTAACTCGAGTCACAAGTCAGTCCAAAAGCAGTGCGTCAGTCGATGGCTCAACAGGTGAAATAGACCATTCACACCACAGGAACACTTGCCTAATTTTTTTTCAAAACAGAAATATCATTCTCGGATAAATTTATAAGCTTAGAAAAAATGAGCATGGGAACCAGTGGCATCTAATGTGCACTTCATGACAATTTGGCTGGTAACCGAATTTCATTTATTGAAGTTCTACACTACTCGGTGTTCTGTGCCTATTTGACCGGCACACCAAAACATGCCGCTGCTTAAAAAGGACGGTGTAATATTGAATGTGGCATAAAACCAACTCCAAGGAAATGTATTTAGGGAACCTCAGAGAAAACATTATTTTAATCTGCATAGTAGTAAGTGAAAAATAGTCACATGGCAAATAAAGTACCACAAAATATATTCATGGTGTAAACTTTGTGTTCATGTGTAGCTGAGTCATTCTATATGAAGGTGTTGCTTTTCACTAAACACAGAATTACCGTCCAAAATGTTCACTGCCCTAAACTGTTCAAGTCTCCCAAAATTCAATGCCCTCTTTGTTGGACTTTGATGAGTTAAGGATAAAACTCCAGTATCTTATGCTTGTGGGACTTATGATGTAAGTTTTCAATTTGAAGAAGGCACCTTGAGGGTGCTACACTTTGTTGGATATTTTGGCAGATTCAAATAATGTCCCAGCAAAATATGCCTGGAGATACAAGGTGAAAGATGACAAGTTTAAAGAACACTCCTTTAAATATTCAATCCGGTTAGGCACTGCTCTGAGGAAAACCAATTGTTTGAAATCTGCTGTGATAAGACAGGACATCACTTAGGATTTCACTTGATACATTATGTACAACAAAACGGCTTCAACTGACAGATAATTCATGCACAGCATATGTATATGGAGAGTGAACTCAAAGTAATGTTTAGGCAGAAAAAGAGAGCTTTATTTTGTTCAATGTGTACCAAATTGCAGAAAGAAATCTTTTGAGTGCCTCTCAATTCATGCTAAAATCTTGACAGTCTTGCAGTTTCGGATTTCCCAACACTGAGTTCCCGTATGTGGACCTACCACTTTGGATCCAAAGTGAGGCTACACTTGCAAGGGCCAATTCAAATGCAAAAGCGGTCTCTTTCTTGGTCCAACTGTGCAAAGGGTCCACTGAGCTTCAACGTTTAGTCTCTGTGCACTTCTCATGGACCCTAAATTGAAGGGAGGAGATATGGATTTCCATTAAAATTTATGACACTAATCATTTGCTTGATGAAACACTGCAGATATTGCACAAGATAATGATTTTTATACTTCAAGTACTGCCCTGGGACCCGGGTTTAGCACCAGTTGCCTTGAAACTCAACCTACTCCCTTCGCTGGCACTTCTCCGGACACCTCCAAGCCCTGCTGGGGAATGTGGTAAACCACTCTTTGGTGTAGTATCTACTTCTTTGCTGCCTTCTTGTGCCCTGTTGGACAGAGGACTTTGCTTTGGGGATGGGGGTTTGAGGCGGGGTGTGCTACCTGAACGAGGAATGCGCGAGGCACCTTGAGAGGAACGTGGAGCACTGTCCCCCTCTGTGCCTCTCCTGGCTGGCGATAGAGTACCGCGGAGTGCAGATGGGGGCCTGGGGCGACCAGCTTCTCTCAGGATGCCGTCCAGATCCTTGGTGCCTCCAACTTTTCCGAGGACGCGGGGCCCTTTCCTCGATTTTCCATCGACTTGCTCCTTGCCAATCTTACTGCCCGTGGTGCTCTCCAGTGTTGATTTCGACACTTTTGCACTTGACTTCGTAGCCAACTTTCCACCACTATCCAAAGTAGAATTGGCTTCAGTTCTGCCAGGGTCAGGTGCCGTCCCCTTGTCTGCCCGAGGCTCTGTCTCATACGTGTCCTTGATAACATCTTCATACTCATCCTTGGCACTTTTGGGCGCTGGCTTGGGTCTCTCAAACACCTTTAGCCCCTGCTTCTGGTGGTCCTCCTTCATTTGCTTCACGGCTTCGATTTCCTCAGCTAGTCGGTCTCGCTCATCCGCACACTGCTGCACCAGGGCATCCACTGACTTGAAGAAGTCCCTGCCAAAAGTTGAAAGTGCTTCCTGGCCGGATGAAGGCGACTCTCTGTCGACGGTCAGCATCTCCACCACTGTTTCAAGCTGCGGGAGGGTGAAAGAGCAAGTTCTTGTTGTTGTAAGGTGAATAAATGACTTTAGGCTGCTTCATCGTACAGGAAAACGTAAAAGAGAAGCAAATTTGACGTCACAAAAGATTTGCAGCGAAAATTTGAAATTTGCTCAACTTTTGCTAATTCGCAGCGTGAATATTTGATCTGACATCACAGATTCACATTAATTGACCTCATCAGTAAAAACTGTACAAGGAGTGAATTGGAGGGTGCCATCTGCATATAAAAGGACCACCTTGGCACTCCTCGGAGCAAGTTGCTGACCGTCAATGTAGTAGTGTTTCTACAGCGAAGTATGGGGCAGTCACAAAAAGTGAACACTGAAATGATTTGGATTTTGTAGGATGTAACGGTGTAAGGATCACGGAGTGGAAAGCTGGAAGGCCAAATTCTTTGAAAACCAACATACTCAGGTAGCAACCAAGCAAAAAAATGATCCCCCCGGCTGGAACTGACCCACAGCTATCACAGGTGGATGACGAGGAAAAGACCAACATGCCAAAGGGTAAAAATCAAACTCTCCGCATGACTGGCGAGTGAAAAGGTACAGCATTTTACTACCTCACTAGCCTCAGCTTTGAACGTTGTCAGGAAGTCTTTTAATGCCTCTTCCGACGTGGTGGATGTCAGGGTTGAATAGGCCTCAAGAATCCCTGGGAAAAATACGGAGTTGAAACTTAAAAAACAGAAATGGGGTTTGGAAAGACAAGTATGATTTTACTCCACAATAACCAACACTACTTCTCCCTCAAACACCTCCAACATGAATAACACCAATACACAAAAACTCCTTTTTACTTGGAGAATGATCTTGACTGATAATTTCACGAGAGAGGAACAACATCAGTCAGCAGAGTTCCGCGACAGTCAAAAGTTTGGATCTCATTCTGCTCAAGAGTTTGTTGAACCAAAAATTACTTTAGAAAATTCAGAAAGTTTTCATCTTGCAGAAAAGTTGAAACTCAACCGAATATAAAAATGAGCTCTTCTGTTTCTTCCCAGTTTCTTGCCAGTTTTGTGCACGCACGTTAATACATCCAAAATCACAGGGCAGAGATGAAATTGGACTGGGCGCTTGAAATGTAAAGTTTCTCACTTTTCAGAGGTTGGCACAGAAGTGTGTGGGTGTTCTGCTCAAACTCTGTGTAGGCCTCTCTGTGAGTTAGAAAACAGAGACCTTCAATGAGTAGCCATTCTCTTTACAAACAATGCTAAACCTTCCTGATATCAGCAAACTTTGGAGACGGTGCATTAATTGGCATGGCTGTACTTAGCATATCTGCTGAGCGAATTAAAGTTAAATCCTGAAATGAATTACTGGGTTCAAATGTTAGACCTGGTTTGTGACGTTGTACTGTGGACAACTTGCCCCAAATTAAGAAAATTGCCTGCGGTTAGAAATTGCTGCAATCAGAATGTTCAGAAAACAGAGTGGTATCAATCAAACAACCAATGTGTTGGCCACACCCTACCTGACAGCTGTGAACAAGGACTCCATGTACTTGCTCTGCACATCGTAAACTTTCTGATGAAAGTGCAGCTCACTTACGCATGCCTTGGCCTACAAGCATGCATAGTATAACACATAACCAGGCCGAGCAATATATCAAGCAATCAGAAAGAAAGAAAAATAAGAAAAAGAAGGTTGCTAGGCGGTAAAAACATTGCCAACAATTTCATGTCCTCCACCATGCACAATGATACACACCTAAAACATCAGAAATAAGGGGAATTCTAAGCTGCGTGGTGATTTGTAACCTATTTTCCAGTCCACCGTGGCCAATATGTGAACTTCAAATTAAAACTGGAAATTAGCTCATCCAAACAAGTGACATGCCTCTGTAAATTGTTTGAGGATCTGCACGTCCTCTAAAATATACGGAGAGCAAAATGTCTGGTTACTACAATAATAAACACCAAAATCAAAAAATGGATCTGACCTAAATTTGAATTGTTGCTTTGCTCCTTGTCGAGCAGCAAACAAATAAAACCTTCCAAAAAAAGCACATGCAAGTTGTTTTCTATTGGAAAACAATTTTCATTTTTACATACTAATCACAACTCACCTTCTTCTTCACAAAGTCAAAAAAAAGGGAAACTACATGAACACTACACCCAAATAATCTTGGACATTACAGCGATATGACACAGAATGAGAAACAAAATCAATGATGAAATCAAAAGACCCACGATGCAAGAGATCAAAACGGAAAAAGCTCTCTAAACTCACAAAGCGTACAGAACAGATGATGCTGAAGATGAATAGCAAATGAATGCTGATAAAGTCACCAAATAAAACGACAAAAGAGAGAGAGAAACAAAGTTGGCATTGTACATTTCTCGGCAGAAGTGTCCTCAAGGCACGGTGTGCATAAATGCATGAAGATGCCAGTGAGGATGATAGAACTTCTCACCTCAAGTTTGGCTACATTTCGTGAGTAGTTACAGGCCTTCAGTAAGGCGTCCACACACGCTCGGCCCTGGAGTTTGAAAACAGCATAAATGAAATGCCCACAATTTAATGCACCGGTAAGCCTTAGTTGCCAGCACAGCAGGTCCCTTCAAATTGGTTCAGAGGTTTTCCAGGCTATTTTTGATTCTTGAATTCAGCTGAAGCTCTGATTTCACCCCTTGTCCCTCAAATTCTCTAAAGTCCTTGAAGGCTCAACCAATGAAATAATTCGATCTTTGGTTACACATGATAATTTTCCTGGGACAAAAACTCCTGTTGCATTGAGCAGGGATCATTAAAAGTCAAGGACCTGAACTCAGGCCATTAAAACCAGAAGCCAAGATAGGAATGATTAGCCCAGATATTTAGGAATGACCATTTATCGGTTCTTCGTATATCAACTGCAGACCACATTGGTTGACCAAGTAAATTGCAATAAGCCGACATAATTATTTGAAACTCCATTGCCCATTTAACCGTGTTGCCACAGAGGATGTGTCAACAATTCACGCAAATTGTACACACTGGCATGGCTGATGGCTTCAAACATCATTTGTACCTCAACTCATCTCCAACAGACATTAACCCTCCTTCTGTTTCAACCGTCAAAAACAGTCAAAAATGCCTTCCAATTGATTTCCCCCAGTACACAGACACGTACCGGAAATTGGACTGATTTTGACTGATATGACAACTGTGGTCAAGAATGCATCTTAGCATAGGAGGGTTAACATACTACTTTCCCACCTGTCTTGCATACTCACAAAGTCTGAGAGGTATATGGAGGGGGAGGGTTGTGCATTAAACTCCAACCTGGCTGCTCTGCATCGTTTGTTGTGGCAAATTATGGCTTCATGAGTGCGGCCCCCAGAATGTTGAAAAATGTGAGGTCGCGGACTTACGGTGAGAAATATCGTACAAAATATCATACAATTATCTTGCTTCTGTCCTTGTACCTTGAACTCCTGAACGCTCCACCAACAACTGACCTGGGAGTTGATGAGACTGGATTGGCATTTGATGGTAGTTTTGGAGTCTTTGTTTTCAATGGCGCTTCTAAAAGCAAAAGCCACAATTTTCAACCCAACAATACCGTGAACAAGTGGTTGAAATTGAGTCAAGGCAGTTGTCTGCAAGTTTTGGCCTCAGCTGTCAATAACATGTATATGCCTTTGCAAGTTACTGGCTACGGCTGCTGCCACTCTCTATACAAGGGTATGTTACTGTGAGCCATAGTCAAGACTTTCAGACGCAGCCAAATGGCACACCTGTTGCTGTTTGCTCTTGGGGAAGCTCGGCAACGCCGACATGACTGAGTCCAGGCTTAGCTCAGCGCTCACTGGCTTGATAACGAGAGGCTGTAGAAGAGAACAGCAATTGGACATTTATGTGCACAGCAAACATCAGTCTGTTTTATAGTTCCGGCTCCTGAACTGACTAATCCAAGCTGACACAATTACAAGGCTGGAAAGTCTAGGCTGAACCCAGGCATGAAGTGAAATCCACATCTGAGTCCATTTTTTCTATTTGTGTTAAAAATGAAACTTAACTTTAGATTCTGCAGTCTCAATAGCTGAAAGTCTAACGGCAACTTTACTACAGCCCTAGTTCTATTTTAATCTTGATTGATTTCTGGTTTGTATTTGCCAGTCCAGAAAACATCAGTAAACAGGTTCTTTTTAGCTTCTGAAGTTCATTAAAAAGATAAAAATTTAAAGACTTATTTGAACAAATAATTAGGTTACTTGACAAGAAATGCCTGGTTACAACTCTTACCCAGGGAGCTGATGGGACAAGAATGGATACCGATAGCAGGTCACTGCAACTCTCGGCAACTGACTTTTCGCACTGGGCCAGGAGGCCGGACATCCTCTGATTGACGGCCAACGAGAGGTGGTGATTAGCGGTTTTGAGCCCCAGCCGATGGTCACGTGACCACGTGACTTTCAGTGATTGGTGGAGGGCCTGTAAATGCCTGTGTAGGCTGAAGAGCTTGGATTCCAACTTGGCCTGTGGACAACACCAAATTTGGCGGGAAAAATATTAAGAGACTGATGAACTCGTGAAGGTCACCAGCTTCTTTCTGTAGCATTGGTTCGCGGCGTGTATTGACTTGTGGCAAATGTAGAGGGAAATGAACGACTGTGTTCACTAAATGCCACGAGTCATATTCTGGTTTTCGGGGCTTTGAAAGGAAAAAACATAAAATGTGTCCTGACAACACAGCTGAAAATTTCCCTCTACTATTATAAATATCTCAGGGGCATAGCCAAATCCCAGTGGGTGGTGGCCTACAGGGTCTACGGTCCTACATATACATTACAGCTGTACTTTTGTTAACCAGTGACTCATAAATCTCTGGCTGACTGTCAGTACAAAAGTAAAAGAAGATTCACTAAGTGTTAAAATCTAACATGGCCTTCAAAACACTACCACCAAATACTAAGTAAAGAAAACACCCTCTTCAAAAGTAACTGGGCTCAGGTAAATTTTGAGGTAAACTCTGACAGCAAACGAGGGTGATGTTTCTGCAATCGTTGGCCATCCATATGAATAGCAGGCAATATGACAGTGGCCAATTTGCATTTTTTAAAAAAAACTTACAATTTGCTTCAGACTGAGGTGTTCCAGCTTGCCACTGCAAATGTCGAGAAGCGTCACGCCATCCTCTTCAGCTGCCGGTTTGAGGAAGGACCCCATGTACAGGATGGGACGGGCCAGTCGGTCGGGATTATTTGCCTGGTGCAAAGTTTTGAAAAAAAAAGAGAGATTTATAACAATGGCTCTATGAACGCTAAGTCTAAGACACTTGGGCCAATGCCACATGCTCGGTGAAAATATGTGGTAGAGGGCACAAATGCAGAAAACAAGGATATTGTAATAGTAACATTCAATATTAATATAGCACATCACACTATCAAGAGGGCTCTGAATGTGCTCCACATTTATATGATGCCTCCTCATCAGGGCAACAAATGGTCCTAAAAGCATCTCAGCTCTTTGGGAGGATACAGCTCAATTCCTCCATTTCAGATACAAACAGCTGAACAAACACTGTAAACTCTGCCCTCACAGGAACCCATTTACACCCCTGAGCGGAGAGAGGCAACCTGGGATAAAGTGACTTGTCTGAGGACATTAAAAATTTGGATGCTGCCTAGCTCTCTCAGAGATTTCAGTACCTCAACATTTTTGAAGAGTCTGAGTCTGGCGCCCTCTGCTGTCTCAATCAGACCAGTCAGCTGGGACCTTTGAACGGGTACACTGGGGCCTTTAACCTCACTTGCCACCAACTCCCTGTAGAAAGGAATGCCAAAATTAACATGTTTGGCATATGTGGCATCTATCTGCCCTGGGCGAGACCAAGAGAGGGTGCAATTTTCCTAGCAATGGAGGTTCCTTTGGTGGGAACTGCACTCCAACGGTCCACAAATGAATATGAAATGCACGTGTTACGGTGGCGTGGCTACCAACAAAATCAATACCTCCAAGTTAAAGAGGAATTAAGGCCTAGGCTATACGACATGCTACTGCCGTGCCGAACTCAAATAATTCCAACACACGGTATTTAGAGCAATTGGGCTTGGCAAATTGAATTCGGCATGGCAAGCCCTTTACCTTGATAAGAGTATGCCATGCTATCGTCATTCCAAACGGCAGTGCATGACACTGCTCTATTTAAGTTTGGCATTTAGTGAAACTGCCAGGCTATTGCCTAGACTTGACTCCAGTCGGGATTCACTATGACATCTGTGTCTGTGCTTTGGACACCAAGGCTGTGCATCATTACTTGCTTCGTGCCCTCTTGTGTCCACTTATTTCCTGAGTTGAGAAATCCTGACTTGACGAATCTGCCAACCGTTTGTACACAGCGAATGAGCTCACATACCAAAAATGGTAGCAGCCAATCAAATTGTTGGACTTGTGTGTACATCGTTCATACCTGCATTATAATGAACGAGTCTATGAGTCTATTTTGATTAGTGGAAATTCTGTGTACATTGTGGAAGATGATGTTTTTCATATGCAATTATCAATAACTACGTATCACAGATGGGGGGTCTGATTGACTTATCTATCAAGTCGGACTTACTGACTGGTGACACACCGTACCATCTGTGACGTTAATGCAAAATTGCCACACTCATTTGAATTAAGTTTGTCACGGCATCTGGTCTTGGCCTAAGTTGACTGTACCTGAGCTGGTCTGCAATTGTTTGCAGGCAATTCTCGACATGGAGTAAGACTTCAGTCCGAGAACTCAGGGCGTTGGAATATAGCAAAACCTAACGACATAACAAAAGAGAAACACACACCAAATGGAAACTGGTTCAGGTGTGTGTGGAATTCGTGGCAACTCATATGTGCCCAACCGGTGAACTATGACATGGCTCCCACTGAAGGGAAGGGGGGTGAACACTTTTTAAAACTTGTATCTCCTGTGAATTAAGCACGGAGAACTTCCGTGATGGAATTCAAATCGTACATAAGACACGGATTGCCATGTTGACGCCTTACCCTTTCAAATTGCCCCATGTAATAAAATTTCCGTCTTTTGGACCCACATGAAAGATTCTGATAATCACTAACACTAATCATCTAGGACCATTGTTAGCAAAGATGACCCTTTCTCATTTTGGGGGCAATAGAAATAACTTTGAACAATGTACATCACTGTTGAAAGTAGGTACAATGAAGTATGCAGTGCCCAAGCCAGCCCTGCACTAAGGAAACAATTTCTATTGTTAGGAGATTCCAGACCGAGTTAGTAGGGACCAAAAAATTGCCCCCATTAAGAATTTGTCCCCACACAAAAGCATGGATCAACCTGTGTGCAGTTTCCACACCTACAAGTAAATGTACGGTGTCAGAAGGTGCACGTGTCTCATTCTGTGTTTTACGAAGATTTTCAATATTCGTGCCACAAAAGTAACATTTTCTGAAATGCTTGATCAGGGACTGGTGACTATGAGTACATACTTGACGTTCTAGCTGAATGACCTGCGATTTCAAAAGATGGACTCTTCTCTCATCAAAACACTCCACTGGTCCCTCATCCACAAGCTGCTTGTAAAGACTCCTGTGGGTACCAGGGATTAGTAAAAATTGTCAATTGAGGGAAAAGTTAAACATTACTGGATTTACCAGTAACTGAATTTGTGAAGGAAGCTATTTTTAAAAATGAAATCCAGTCCTGTCCCGTTTAAATACAGTCCTGCAATAGTGTCTGACACCAACTTTTAACTGTTCATATTTGACAATGCATACTAACAGAGGTCCAGTCACTTTTGCACAATGTCACAGCTCTCTGCCATAACTTCAAACTCTTGTTAGAAAATAAAATGGTCATTAATGTTTATGAAAAGCAAGATAAGAACACTGATTTTGAGTATGTACAGCAAACTAAAAATGTTACCTTGTTTCTTCCAATTCCTTTTTAAGTTTCACGTTTTCAGCTCTCAAGTCCTGAAAAGAAGATACATGTAAGTGGCTTTAAAACCAGCAAACAAAGATTCAATTCCTATTACACATCAAGCCTGCTCATTATCTAAAGCTTTCTTTTGCCACATTCAAATGAGAGGTATTCACATGATAACGAACTTAATTTACATCTTGCATCATCCACCAAGTCATTCAGACTGAACTGGGAGGTTAGTTGAACAGGCTACATACATGTACATGAATGTTGTCACAGAGTGGTACAGGTTTGAGTTACGATCATTTTGCCGACAACTGTTTGATATTTCCTGTTATCCATGGCAACTTTTGTACACAGGTTACCAGGAAAAATCAACATTAAATTTTACATCCATCATCTGATCAAATGAACACATATACATGTACCAGTGGGCTGTGCATGTAGCTTGAGTAACTCAAGCCGTAATTATTAACATGGGTAATTTGCCAGTCATGACTTCACACAGACTGGCCTTACTACAGTACATGGCAGTAGAAACCATGCATGTGCCCCTGAACCATAGAACTAACGTTAAGTTTTCTACAAAAAACCCAGCACTATTGACTCAAGTAATGTAATTCAGGTGCCAGTAACTTGCATGGCATACTGGTATATCTTGGGTGGCGCCTTAAAAACAGTCCTTTGGATACGCTAACATCACTTGACACCGATGTAAAAATCATGGAGCTATGAGATTGCACTGAAAATGTCCAAGTACTTTGCAAGTTATGCTTGAATACTTTTCCAGCTAAATGTGACTCTTTTATGCTCGTAGGCCTAGGCCTAACATCTGTGACTCACTGTATAGTCACAAGGTGGAGTCAGAGGCTATTCTTTGTTATTTTAGTTTAATTACAACTCTTGTGCACGTGTTTTCTATGGAACACAAATACGCACGGGTTCAATGTGTACATGTACACGGTTAGTTGGCAGCACAAAATGACACAGGCTCTTTTGTGGGGTCATGCTATTTAGTATCAACAAGTGTCATTGAGCGTCAACAAAGCGTCAACAAGTTATTCAAGCACATTTATGATGTAATTTCTTTTAGTTTACAATATTAATAAGGCTCCTACATACATGTATCCTATTCAATGTTTCATGGCTATCTGAAATGATATTAGAGTGTTGAAATTTGAGTAACAAAGTTAGGCCTGCTCATGCTTGACATGACACCATCTTGTTTTCGCGTGGACAGCAGAGTAATGGAAGATGGTGGCCTCCATACAACATGAAAAATTTTCGTTATTGGTGAGAAATTGGAAGCAAATACAATAAAACCACTTTTAAGTCTAAGGCTGTATTTTCAAGTTATTGACACTACTTGTATGTGTTGACGCTTGTTAACACTAAATAACATGACTGCTTTTGTGCAGTCCTCTTCACTGCAGTTGGTTTACAGCACAATTAATGAATTATGCACATGAAACAGTGAAGCACAGTTGTTGGACAGCACAAAAGTGCAATCTGATATTCCAGTGAGGAACTGTTGGTGCAGTGCACAACACAACACAGCTGTGCATATTGTGCGGCTTAGTAACTGACCCAAAGATAGAGTGACCGTATCATATCTCCATGGCTGTACGTACTGTACATGCATGTCAGCCCTCAGAAGGTGATAACATTTGTCCTAACACATACGCAACAAGTAAAATTTCACAGGGGAAATCGAACATTTACTCTGAAAATAAAGATTTTCAGGCTAGTTTCGTAGGGTTTGTGCACTCCCAGGACTGTGGGGTTCGACGTCCGCCGCGTTCTGATCCACCAGCGCAGCACGCGTCACGGACATCAAACCCCACATTTCTGTGGGTGGGATTTGTTCACAGGGTGTCAAGTGATACTACAGAGGGCAGGGTCATGTGTGAATATATCCCCTAGAACCACTGGCTACAATGTCGTGTCGGGTCACAGTGACTCTGGGAAGAACGCGAAAAAGTCCAAATCAAATCTACAATGTCAAAAGAGTTCTTTTGAGAATGAAGCAACACAAAATGAATGGAGATGGTCGAAAAATTTAAGTCCAAACCGAGTGGTCGTTGACTCCTACAAAAGTAGGCTACCTCCATGCTGCATGAAACACTTTCTTCCCGGCGGGGTAAGTTTTCACTTTTGTAAGTTTTATTCACTTTAAGATATGTAGGTCCCACAGTTTTTAATCACAAGTCTAAAAGTAAAGTACTGTAGGCCTACATGTATTTTGGAAAATTTTTTCATACATCATGTATATGTCACATACTGCCTACAACATACCTTTATTTCTCGTTCAGCTTGAGCAACACTGGCCTTTTCCGGCTGACCCATTTAAATATGTTTAGTAAAATTTCATTTAATTTTGCGGCATCTAAGCTTGACGCCAGCCCCCGGCACCTTCACGTGTTTTCGTATCAGCATAGACCTAGAGGAGAAAATGGTATCAGTCAATTAATTTGGTCAAGCACGTACAGTACATGTATGTACATATGTACCCATCATCAGGCAGCGCGAAGTTGGGGAATTTAACGATTATAGCGCCCTCACTTGTCTGGAGGTCCCCGGCCACGTACATGTGATGGCCATCCCCGACCCCTAGGTTGGTAGGGGTGACTAGTGCAGCGCCCAATTCAAGGAAAATTCTCCTCTAGGCCGAGGTGCTTGAAAATTCTTTCGAAAAGAGGGGTTTGTGTGGGCCAAGAAATTGTGGGATTGTAAAAGTATGGCCCAGGGTCATGTCTGTAGATTCAGCTCAGGGGCACCCATCTGGGGCAAAGCAGACAAAAAGGTGAGGGGTGTCATTTGAAAAATGGCTGCTGAGAAGTCATGTCTGGAAATACAGATGGGCCTTTCTCTGGAAAAAAGGTCTTATTGTAGTCTTGAGAGGATACTAAATCAATCATCTTAGTAACAATTGTACATTATGCACAGAGAAAAAAAAGAGACGGCCGATTTATTCTGGGATGACCCAAGAAGGCTTACACAGGCCCGGGCTTATTTCCATTGGGGTCACGTCCTTTGAGTTTGGAGAAATTTACACACATACAGAACATACAAAACACGAAAAACTAGTATGTTGCCAATCTATTTAAGCATTACTAATTACATTAACATTTAAATTAATCTCCACGCAGTTAAAAAATCAAACCATTAAATTCATTACAAAACATTTATTGATGTCACTCATGCCCTTCCCGTTAATTAAGAATCAGTCGTATTAATTAAAAACACTGCACTTCTGCGCACAGTTTGCACCCGCGTTTGGCGAACTATGGCTTGCCGTGGAAACAAAAACCACAAAATAAGTTACAAAGTGGTGACAAATCAGTCGCAAATATTAAATCCCTATGTTTTTAATACTTCTGCTCTGTACGGACTGAAAAATGCCAAACATCAGTCATTGAATATAAAGTCAGTTCTGAGGTAACACTTGTTGCAAACTGAGGGAGAACGTTTTGCAAACTGTTACACAATGGCGATCTGTGTTACTAAACAAACAGGGCCTTCACCTTTTATGTGATTATTAGTTTATTTGTTTGGTTTTAAATCATCACCACCACACATGCAGGCGCCACCAAATTTCCTGGGAAGGAATAGTGACGAACGGCAGCAAACAAACTGTTAACAGCGGAGGGGCCGACAGTTTGGTGATTCTCACCAATGCCCGGAGGAACAATCATTGTAATGTGAAAACGTCCTCCGTGGTTCCTGTCGGGGGCAGATCTGAAGCCATTACTTTTTACCTTAGCTTACGAATAGCGTGTTGCGACCATCGTTGCGATTATTCTGACATCTGGTTCGTAAGTGACTTTGTCAAAAAGGCCGACGCGCCACGATTTGCAGGCTCCCATTTTTGGACGATCGCTGAAGTTGCGCGTTAACTTCCAGTTCCATGGTTCCATGTAAATGGCGATCAATGCATGTAACTCTGTGTGCAGTGCATGTGCAGTGGGCGTGGTTTAAACTGAAGTGATTTCACACTTACGAACCGCACGCGTGCGTTCAGTTTAAGGACCCCCCTGCGTGAGTCTGGCTGGTCCACTCCATACAGCAACCAGAACCAGAGAAAGAGTTCTTCAGGCCCTATCAGCACCTAGGTTCCGTCGGCCATATGTACTTTGTCACAGGAACCCGCGCCAAACTTCAAAGCTGCTGTGATGAACGCCGCAGCCTTGTATTTTACGCTGCTGATGCTAAGCTGTAATATTGTGGACCAGCTGGTTTGAAGCTTTTCCAAAATCACAAATTCAAAGAGGGACGCACACCGTGATTTCGTCGTAAGCCCTCAACTTTTCTTGAGCCCCCGAATATTTTTGTATGCCCTGTGTAGGCACAGTACCATCGTCAATTCGGCCGCACTAAGTGTAATCCTGACGGTAAAAACAAAATGCTAATGCCAGAATTCTAGGTTCATATAAAATCACTAGCGATTGGCTTTAGCATTCGTTGGCTACATTTTCAGAGAAAGTGATGACTAATCATAAAACGTTAAGCATGCAAAAAATGTAATATTCAACGCAAATTAAGAAAGTAAAGAGTTAAAAAGTTGTTTCACTACAGAGGATGACTTAATACTCAAGGCTGGCACGAACCGGTAATACTTGGTTTGTAGATTTTCTCAATTTCTCACCCCAATATTCCGGACTGATTTGCCAAAACAAATGGTCAAATAGTTACCGCTGATGAACGACTGTTATATGAAAAATGTTTGCCCCAGTTTCTTTAAAAATAAAATGTAAGGCCTGCAAATGCAAGGTATTCACAGCCTTGGCCCTGAACTTTCGGCCGCAAGTCTACGACAGTGTTTTCGATATCACTAAAAATATCATTGACATAATGCACTCTTGACTCACAGCAATGACTGAAGTGTGGAATTGGTTGATTAAAAGTTTCCCTTTTTTGCATCTAGCAATGTGTGACATCTAACGTACTGTAAAAAGGTAAAGCTATGTTAAAGCCTGCAACCTAAAATGTAATGCGCGAATGCCTTGATACGAAGCGACCACGTGCACGTTTTACAGGACGTTGTTATTTGCGTGCAGCTGTCGATACAGTTGGTCGTGATACGCCCTTATGATATAAATAACGAACAAAATATATAGCTACGTCTTGGAAGAAAGACTAATTGAATTTGAGCTTTTTAGACCGCAACCTACTAAAATATATATATATATATATATTCTCTACTCCGTGTCCTTTCCCGGCGTGGTCGAGGCAATATGAAACTTAAATGACAATGTCTGAATTTTTTCAATATTAGTTTTGGCAGAAACCCCGCCGCGCAATCCTTAAACGTGAAGTCGAGATTTCGCTGCTGACGTCATCAATTCATGCGCACCAGTTTCGCGTTGTGACGGCCACGGACATGTTTAGACGTGAAGAGGAGTTGTTCCAAGTACGTATTATGTTATGTCGTTTATAACATTACTCTAGCATTCGTGTAAAAAATACGAACTGACAGAGATTTGGCTGACAGTTCAAGTGCAGTAGGTTGTTAGCATGCGGAAAAGAAAGTGAGAAAAAGTACAGAAATCATGCTTGATCACTCTTCCACAAGCGTACTACGCACCTCGTACGTGAACGTATGTGTCACTTTACGAGGACGGGCGCACACGCGACTTCTGGCGAAACTCTCTATCGACACTACAAATACAGATAGTCACTGTAGACCTTGTATCATTTGATATCGCTTATCGTGATATTCACCAGCCACATATTTGAGCTTTTAAACTTCGCCACCTTTGCGGCTCTTCCCCGGATACTGGCAGCGTGCATCACAACAGTGGGGTAGTTAGCCTTCTTCGCCAAGAGCTCGTAGAACTTGGGTCCCCACGGGAAAATGTTGGTGTCCAGTGGCTGGACGTTGACGTGCACGGGCTTGTCCTCATGAAGAAGGTAGTTCATCACACTCTGATCTGCCACAAGCTTTTTGGCTTTGTCATTATTTCGCATTTCTTGAATCCAAGCCTTGACGAACTGGATCGTCACTTTGGTCGGTTTGAAATACGCAAAACCAGCACAATAATGTGCTCTTTCGGATCGAGTTGGATAAGGCGATCTTGGGTCAATCATAGACATGTCGAAGTCTCCTTTGAAGTACGGAAATGGATCCCGGAACCAAAATGTGTCGGCATCAGTGAATAAAACCTCGTAGCCTCGCTCCAGTAAGCCTAGAAAGTATTCTTGGCGTTTGTTGAAGAGCGCGTAGTACTGGCGACGTTGAGTTCGAAGTATTTCCTTGCTAGTGGTTTCTCCCAAGTTTGTTAACACCACGCGCACTGCTGGGTCACCCTCAGCTCTCTTGCTAAGATACTGGTAACATTTCTTGTCCTCGGCTACGATAGTGGTGTTCACGCAAACTCCTGTTCTTTTGATGCTCTCCAGCATGTTGAGAGTCATGTCCATGAAGCCAAGGTTTGTCGTGGTCAACATGACGACACCAGGCCTCATCTTGACGTCCGCTAGACTGCAGTTGGACAGGGAACCGTGCGTTTGGTTCACGCTTCTGCCAATGGTGTTTGACGCTACTTCACCGGCACCGCTTCCTTGGCACTCGCAAGTATCAGAAATTCGCTGACGTTTAGGAGGAACACTGGGATTCTGGTACGAATCTGCAAAACAACGCGAGATCAGAAGTATCAAGGAAATCAATGGGTTTGTAAGCTTAAGACCGGTTAATGCAGGTAATGGAGTCTCTAAATTAAACAGGTCTGGTGCATTAGACTCGAAAAAGCTTACCTTCTTGTGAATTTCAGCACTATCGTCGCAGCTTTAAGTTGCAAGAAGATTTTATAAAAGCAAGTTTAGGACCTATATAATCATGGTTATAAAGGTCATGTCTATGACCAACGGATTTGGCAACGTCCATGCATAGAGGTACATCAATAAATGCCGGTCGTAGCCGAAGTAACTTGTACGATGTATACATGTACATTGGGCTATTTTCTGGAGCGAATAAAACGAACTCAAGCATGGGCACATGGACGTTGTGGGGAATAGCAATAAAAAAAGAGACAACAGAAAATAAAAAGGACACAAACAGAGAAATAGTAAAGGGAGTGAAGCGTGTGAAAATTACCAATGCGCTTGAAAATACCTAGAGCCCCCTTCTCCCATGAATGGTTTATCAGTTTGCTGTTGATGAGTGTTACCCTCTCCCCTGGATGGGGGAATATCTGGGGATAGAAGAGCGGCGCTGTTCACTGCAGAATCTCATCAACAAAGTTGGGCATACTTACTAATGAGGAAAGTGATGAAAGCAAGCGACTGCATGAAGAACAAAATCTTAAAGATGTTGTCTGCGGCAGCCATATTTGCCATCTGTTATCGGAATCATTGAAAAAAAAAGAGTAAAATGTAAACGTAGTCCGTGGCGTGTAAATCCGTGCAGATTGGTCTAAGCGTCAATGTGTCTCCTTTGACGCCGTAAATCACATAAATTCACGCTTTCAATTTTTATGAAAATTTGTTAGATTTAAAACAATAATTATCTAGCCGAGTAGTTAAAACTAAATAAAGACTGCTACTGACGTCAAAAGCACGAGATGAAGTTCTTCATATCAGACTTCAAACTGGAAACGAAAGTCGTCGGGAGCATCCAATGGAAGCCTGTTTTGATGACGTCAGAGTACGGCTCTGCAATTATACGACTGTTTCATTATTTCGCGGCGAACACGTCACGCCAGCGTGCGTGAGCGCTGTGTTTGCTCGCACTTCGGGAATAAATATGTGCTTGACTGGTCTTAAACGTCCGTTTGCGTTTAAGACCGCTCAAGAGAATAGACGCGACTAAGCAGCAGGCGAGGTCATTATCAGCGCTAGCGTTCCAGCCAAGCACATATTTATTCCCATTTATAAATAGGCCTAAATTTTCATTCAGAGAGTCAAAAGAAGTCAACATGCGATTGATTTCCAACGATTTTTTTCTATAATTTTACTGTCATTTTCTGAACTTATCACCTCTCAGCGGGCATTATCAAATGGTAATACACAGTCAAGTTGCACGTTGTTGAATGGGGAGACTGTCGGAGGCATTTACGAATATCAATTAAAAGAGGTCGGACAGTGACAGCGACTTGAAAGTGCTTTTCTATCGGCAATGTTGATCAACACTGGATTGTAGGATAAAGTTGAACCATCTCAATGAGTAAGGTCCTAATGAATTTCAGGCAGATGGCCGTGACTTGCCGACGGAGAATGACTTACTTACTTACTTTACCCATTTTTTCTCTGTTCGTGTGCTATAAAACCCCGCAAGGTCAAGAAACTCTGGGGGAACGAGAGCCGTATTGTGACATCATCAAATCGCTAGAATTGTTTGCCGCCTTCATGGACACATATTTTTTTAACCTGAACATTCTTGCGGTGGAACTGAACTCCTCGAATGACGATTTTTTTAATATAAATGCAAAGAGAAACTGCCACGTTGGTCATGATATAGGTAACAATGACGAAATCCCTGTTCCAAAATAACCATTTTACGTCAAAGCAATGTAAATGATGTTTAATTTATAACCAGTTAGCAGGTACAAATTTTCCAGTAGGTACAGTGTGTGCCCAGAGCCAAACAAAATTAAGAACCTACAGAAATACAACAGTTGTGTTGCAAAATACATAGTTTTGTATGTTTTTAGTTTTGTATGCTATAACCTTTCAAAGTAACTAGTACATGCATGTTCATAACCAACAGTGGACATCAGCATCAGCATGACAAACAATGTACAAAGCTCCAGCGCCTGAAGATGCTATACATATCACATGAAGCTGGTGCCTTCGGTGAAGTAGGGCCGATAGCTAGGACCTACAAACTACAAAGAGAACTTATTCTGGCCCTGTAGGTTGGAATTGCAGCCATTCGCGAGTGCCTGCAAACACGAACACCAGCGACCTGTCTGTGTATACTGGGGAATCCTTGCCAAAGACTGAAAAAGCAGGTATAACGATGGACTTTGTTCTGAAGATATAGACCTATATACGGTAACTACAGACTGAAATTTGGACTCTTTGAAGTGGGCCAAGTGCTTATAGTCCTTTGTTAAAGACATAAAACAGGGACATCGCAGACTGGCAGCGAGTCAAACAGAGACCGGATTTCAGTTGGGTTCAGAATTCATGGCTGCGTGAATTCGCGAGATCGGTGGGATGACGCTGAGCTAAGAAAGCTCATAAAATTCGTTCGATCGAAAGCTTAACTTTTGCTTTCCAAAAGGTGCAGAAAACGCTCTGGAGGAGGAAAAGTGGCCATCTGCTTTCCTGCTTTCATAATAGTTGAAAAGCAGATTTCATGTTTTTGTAACATGCAATTTTGACTTTTCTTCTTTTCTGCCACCTTAAAAGCAAAACGAACATTGTTTGGTAATGCATCTTTCTATTTTCTGCTTCACAAAAAGCAGATGTTACTTTTTCTTCGTTCGCTGGCGACCGAAAAGTGGCCATCTGCTTCTCTCCTTTCGAACTTGCAGAAAGGAGGATTGAACATTTTGGCAACAACCTTGAAAACGAGGACAAGTAAAGCTGCTTTTGCAGTAGTAGAAAAGCAGAAAAATAGAAAATACATTACAATAAAATGTTCATTCTGCTTTTGAGGTAGCAGAAAAGTAGAAAAGTCGAATATTGCATGTTACAAAAACATAAAATCAGTTTTTCTTCTATTCTGATAGCAGAAAAGCAGATGGCCACTTTTCGTCCTCCATAAAACGCTCCATGGCTTTAACACAACATGAAATCCCAGTGATGAAGAAAATTAACAAAAAGACTCTAAAACAATGCATGTGATTCATCTCATCACCTCTATGAAGGCACTGCACAAATGGGCCGAGTACGTGAGATTGCAGCGATTTCCATTGTTCAGGCAACATTGTATTAAACTCACATGTGGACGTGCGTACGTGGCGATAGCTGCAGCGACTAGATTGGTCGATGTGATGCCGTTGCGTATTCTCTTTCTACAGTCGCAGGTGTTGCTTACCGGCAATCGATGGCTGAGCCTCAGGACAAGAGAAGAGGAACATTTCATAAAGCGTGAGAAAATAACAGGAACTATCAAAATATCTATAAATAAAAACGTCTCATGTTCGTGTTGAGGTAAATCGCAAATTCAACTGAAGGTGAACTCTCTTTAAACTTTGGCTACTGTTTAGTATCAATAGTAGAGAGGTATAGGTAACAAAAATACGTCGTGGGTAATACACAAAACGTGGCACGAGTGCGTCACCTAATTAGCATAACAGCACATCGTCATGGAGACGAAACGTCTCTACCGTTTGGACTCGATTAGTTAATACTGGTATATGGGGGTTATGTGTGCATGAGTCTTTGGGGCGAGCAGGTTAGCGTAGCAGTTCTTTCCTCGCTTTGCACCAATGAGTCCCTGGGATCGAGTCCCGGATTGGCCCAGGCTTAAAGATTTTCTCCGGGTATACCGGTTTCCTCCTGCCTCTAAACCTGGACTGTGCCCTCCTTCCTCCGTGAAGTGATGCATTATCAAGAAACGTATACATGTACACTGTTAAAAATTGTGTTGTACTACAATGCGTTTTCTGTGAAATGTATCAGTAATTAACAGAGAATCTTTGTAACGGACGCACTTCGTGACTGTACAGTGATTTTTTTTGTGTAACGACAGAACCCTGTAAAAAGCTTTGTAAATGTACAATTTTCCTCTGTAACACGAATTAACATAAATTTGCATATTGACTTTGGTGCGCAAAACCACTTTCATAAAGCTGATTTCGCCATTTTTTCTGGTGTTTCCTGTTAATGTGAGTAACAGGTAATTTTTTGTGGAGAAAGAATCTTATTCTGAGTCATCTTGTCTGCCAATAAATAATAACTGCTAAAACAAATATGTTTTTAGCCTGCAATCCTGCCAACTGTGACTAAAGTCGAAAGAAAAAGCGATGCACATATCAGCAAGCTGCGTGCCATTATGGATCAGTCTAGTAGCAACTGTGATCATGCTGCATCGGTCAGGTAAGAAAATGTGTTGTTAACACATGAAATAAAAACCAAACTTGTCAATGTCATTACCAACGCATATCCTCCTTCAACCTTGTATGCAGCTTCCTTCAACCTCGTCTACGTTGATTCAGTCCACAAATGTAATTGTTTTAGTCAGAAAACAACGTCTCCTTAAATTCACAAATAAAAATTTGTTCTTGTACAAAATGAGCGTCTGTACATTAACATGACATTTGCAATAACAATTGACATAAGATTCTATGTAAAAGTACCGAAAAATATCTAACAGTGTAGTTATTGAAACAAAAAGCATGAGTAGCTGAAAGCGCCTTTAAAACAACAACATGAGTCTGTTGACCCGGGAACCATGTTTCTTTGTGCATGCACGTTCGTCAGAATTATTTTTCTAGTCAATGATCATCTTGACCCTTCACACCCCATCAAATATTAACCATTCGAGTCCTTTATCGAACTCGCGTAATGGCGACAGGAGACGTGACGTATGGAGTAACATACTCTGTTTTCATGCAACGTATTGTAGTGGTCTTTTCGTTAGACTGGTATGCCCCTGGGCCTTATAATAATCATCCAAGTATCACGACGTAGCCTAATTTGCAGCCTTTTTTCATCAACGCACTTCCCATGTAAGTATATCAATAAAAACTGCATTACACGTGCTCTTTATTTCTCTATGTTTGTTGATCAACGAATTGTCATTTAATTTATTGCAAGTTTGTTCCTGAACTCGTCGGTTTTCTCTTGAAAACATGTATTTCTGGTTCTGGAGGATTTTAGTCAGTCATTTGAGTTTTGACGGTCAGTGTTAAATTTACACAGATGTGCGCGGAAACACCCGCGCTTTCGAAGCCTCTCAGCTTTCTGGCGTACAGGAAACTGCCAATAAATATACAAAGATTCAGAAACGCACGCGCCTCCATGGACATGGTATGCTTCCTGAAATGCCTTTGCCCGGGCTTGTTACGTCGAGTGAAAAATCTCTATATGGCTACAGGTCACGACGAAATTAGTGTACGTATTTATCGCTTTATAATGAGCAATTAGACTGGTTCCTCAGACAGAAGAAAAAATGTATCATTTGAAGTTCATTTTGACGATCCGTCTTACCTCGCTATGTTAATTGTTACCGTTCAGCACAGAGAAGATTAAAAACGAATGCCCCGAATTCATGCCTGATCAACCGAGGCATGATTTTATTTAAAGGGGAAAAATACTGTCACGACGGAGTCGTGCAAGGCACTCGAAGATTGAAGCATGAATTAGGCTTGCACAGCCTTAATTATTACTTTTATATGGAATTTATTTTAGTGGACATTACGATCGATCTGGTGGTCAGATCATTAAGACCGTTTGAATTATTCTCCAATTTGGGCTTCATTAGAAGTGTCAACAATGGGTGGATCTTACATGCACAGGTCACGTGCAAACCAATTTATACATTCCCGAGAAATAATGTTGCTTTTTTGGCAATGTTTTTGAAAACACAGGGTGGTGAATTCATCATTAGCATGCCATTAACCTTTGCATCATTTCCGTATTATTTACTTGTTTCCGATTATTTTTTGGTAAAGGTATTGTCCAGTTATTGTTTCATTTTTACATCATGTTTCATTTAAAGCTGCTTGATTTCCACAAATTTGCTCGGCAAAACCCACGACAAATACGTGACAAAACACATTTTTATTCTGGCAACATATGGCAGCTATTCCACATGACAAATTTAAAATTGAGCTATTTGTTGACAGCGCGATGCGGTGGGATTAAAAGATAACAGCCGTCTCGACAAACTCCCTTTGTATTTTCCACAGTTCTTTCTAATATAGGTAAAGTGGAAATGGCGGCGGAAGACCACATCTTTAAGATTCTGCTCTTCATGGAGTTGCTTGTCTGCATCGCCTTCATAATCTGTGAGTGAATGTTGTAGTCAAATTGTCCTTTGCTGATCAAATAAACAGACGTGTTCGTTATTTGCGACTAATAGAAATCGACAATGGCACACACCTACTTCAACTCCGCCCGTGGCGTCATCTCCACTGCATCCGCCGTGCGCAGAGGCACCCCCTCACCGGTTGAAAGACCCGTGTTGGTCGGGAGCGTTCATTTTGCTGGTAGCGATGCGACTGCAACGCTTGCATTTCATGGTCGTTCGTGAACCAGCGATGCGCAGTTGCAATCAAAGCAGCCTTCGTTTATAAGAAAATTGCGCCCTCTCTTTGTCCAGCTCGGAACCCATAGCGCCCATTATTTATTTGCAGGAAATGAAGCTTGGAGGCTAGGGCTTATACCTCTCGGAAGATATTGCCCCCTTCACTCTGCTCTTGCAGAATATCAAAACGGAAAACTGGAGGGTAAAATAATCTTATCGAATGACAAGTTGCATTGTATATTCGCAACGTTGTGTTCGTCCAAATGAATGATTTGCATCCTTTTGTGTTGAAGGCTGATGCAACCTAACGAGGCTTTGTGTCCAGGATACACATATATGTATTTACACTATAAGCCTATGCAACAGCTGGGCTCCACGGAACGCTCAATGTGATTAAAATTCCTGCTTGAAGAGAGACCAGTAGTCTGTTGAACACCTATAGTTCTCTCCACACAAGCATGTACATTTTGTTTTCATTCATTACAGTACTTATTTTATTATTTTTCAATCTTTCTTTTAATATCATTTTTTATTTTAAATTCATGCATATTTTCATTTATATTTCAAATGTTAATTTTTTCTCTCATTTAAACTTGTTATATTTCATTTAAGTTCTTATTCTCAGTAAATGTATTAGTACTTTTTAACGTTATTATTATTTTTATGTCGGGTTTTTATGTCAAGTGTTTGTATTTTCTGTGTTTGTGTTTATTTCTAATGACGCATGTAAAATAAAAGTCTCCACTGTTGCTTGCCGCATATATAAATAAAAAATACCATTCGAAGTGCTAGAGAATCCTAATTTCATTTCCCGGGAACAACAGCAGCGGGGTGACTGCGTTTCCCGAAAATGACATTGGGAATTTAGCACTGGGACATACACTGGAGAGGTTATCAGCCTATAAAAAAATTGTCCGTACCTTCAACCGTCTACTTGTCCTGAATTTGTTGGGGTGCATTTTGACTGTTGTCGCCGCACCCTAGAAGTAAATTATGGCTGCCATTTTCCTCTAGAGGTCATGGGTCATCTTACCATGACTTCCTGGAACATTGACTGTAAAGCATGCATCAGTTTATGCACCGACGGATGTTACATGTCATTCAAATAATATAGTATTTTATGCACGGGTTATTCACAAGTGATCGACTCTTCACTTTTAATACTGAGTATAAGCAATGTTGCGAGGACAAGGGGACTTACGAATGAACAACGAAGATGGAAGTGAAAGGTCATTATAATGAAATTCAGTTTTAGGCATCACTAAGTGCCTTTTCACAATAGTAGGCCTACATGAAGAACACAAAAATGAAATTCCGACATCAGTGTTTCTTGGGGGTGGTTTCAGTAAGAAATTAATCTTCCAAAAACAATTGTTTTTAGAACGTGATAGGACCACAGCCCAATGCAAAATCGCAATGAGGGCGGGCTGCACAAGGGTTCCGAAAGTTCGCTAAATGGCCTTACCTCAGGCCCACTATAAGACATTTTGAAGCGTGGTGGGCACAATAGCAGGGCGCTCTAAATTAATTTTAAGTGAACAGCTGGGAAAGTTCAAGACTATAGGCCTAGTTAATGTTTAGTTCGACTAACACACCCCGAACATTGGTGGTTTGGATTATCTACTGGACCATTTGGGACCAGGCCCCAGGGGATGGTCCCACCGCTGGCTACCAATAACTGTTTTCATTTAGCATATTAAACGGAGGGAACCATTCACCTTCAAAGTAACTGTACGAGAATCTAATGACCATGTACCGGTACGCTGCGTGAATCCAAGCCAGCGGTGAAATGTAACAATGGGACTTTCTCAAAAATAGGTAAACTAGGATTGTTCCATAACTGAACTGCGTGTGCGCATCGTAAACCAGCTACTGACAACTGGTTGCGCCCGAACTCCCCTTATATGTTTGCTAATAATATATAATAGCGCCCTCCTAATTGTGTTCGACATACTTCAAATAGGATAATGCTTTTCGGCATTGAAGGGAGCCATCGGTGGCGTCAAACAGCAGCATAATACCGACACCAGATTCGTTATATCCAACGAACCCTTCATGTATGACTCTAATCTCATGTTACTCTGCAGATTCCTTCAAGGATCAGAGTGTTAATCACAAGAGTCTGGGAACTGACAGTTGTAGCGGTTGTCAACCAAACAGCCTGACGGAACTGCACGGTCAGGTGGCATCAGACACCATTGGTCGACGCGTGAACCAAACACGTGGTTCCCTGTCCAACTGCAGTCTAGCGGACGTCAAGATGAGGCCTGGTGTCGTCATGTTGACCACAACAAATCTTGGCTTCATGGACATGACTCTCAACATGCTGGAGAGCATCAAAAGAACAGGAGTTTGCGTGAACACCACTATCGTAGCCGAGGACAAGAAATGTTACCAGTATCTTAGCAAGAGAGCTGAGGGTGACCCAGCAGTGCGCGTGGTGTTAACAAACTTGGGAGAAACCACTAGCAAGGAAATACTTCGAACTCAACGTCGCCAGTACTACGCGCTCTTCAACAAACGCCAAGAATACTTTCTAGGCCTTACTGGAGCGAGGCTACGAGGTTTTATTCACTGATGCCGACACATTTTGGTTCCGGGATCCATTTCCGTACTTCAAAGGAGACTTCGACATGTCTATGATTGACCCAGAATCGCCTTATCCAATTCGATCCGAAAGAGCACATTATTGTGCTGGTTTTGCGTATTTCAAACCAACTAAAGTGACGATCCAGTTCGTCAAGACTTGGATTAAAACCATGAGAGACAATGATAAACAGGACAAGCTCATGGCAGATCAAGATGTGATGAATCACCTTCTCCGAGCGGACCAGCCCGTACACGTCAATGTTCAGCCGCTGGACACCAACATTTTTCCGTGGGGACCCAAATTCTATGAGCTCCTGGAGAAGAAGGCTAACTACCCCACTGTTGTGATGCACGCTGCCAGTATCCGGGGAAGAGCCGCAAAGGTGGCGAAGTTTACAAGCTCAAATATGTGGTTGGTAAACAGCACAAACTTTGATGAGTGATCACATTCAAAATAAAGAGGGTATGATACGACGCAGAAATAGTGTCTAAAGGATTAGAACATATTTGTGTAAAAACGGAATGCCTTTTCTTAAAACCTGAAACGTTTTAAGACCATATAGTACACGGCGTATTTTACAATATCAAATGAATTTCCCCAAAACCAAATACAAATTTACAGACCTAACATTTTTTTGAGAATCGAATAACTTTCTACAGACCTAACATGTTTTTCATGAATTTAGAAAGCATCCGAATTTAGAAGGCATTCAATTTGTTTGACCCTGTTTTAGGGCCGATGAAACCCGAAGTTCCGAGCCGTTATGGGCAGCTGTGTTAGGCATCAAATGTGCATTTCAAACCCTAGGCTGGTTCCTGCTACAAAAGCCATTGCTCAGTGCACAAAGCCACAAACAAGTAAATGCATTGATTTTTGAGGGCTCGGCATTGGCAAGCACTTTGTTGTTGAACTGAATTTGGCCACCTTCGTTAAAAACAACAAGTGCTGATCGCAAATGAGTTTAATGGCAACTTTCATAGGGATCACATAAGAAAAACGGTTTAGTTAAAGTGCACTCTCACCGGTGAGGGTGAAACAGCCTGGTGGGTAGTCTGGATACCAGACCCGATTATTCTGGCTGACCTCGTCGAATCAAGGGTCTGGTATCACCCAATGTCCATGTGACCAAAGCCGGAAGAATTCTTCTAGTTTTCTAATAACCAAAATATTCCGAACTCATCCCGTCTAGATTCGGATAGCATCGTTGATGTTCGGGTATTTCCGGCTGTGCCAAGCTATATGCTTCGGTAGGTAACAGACCATTCCGTACATCTGCCAGAGATCGATTCTAATTTTTTTTTTTAATTCCAGGAAAAACGTCTGACAATTCACCAATATATAAGCATACACGTGTTTAGGCAAATGGACAGATTGACATCAATATGTTAAATTATACAAGTCATATAAAGCACAAAGTGGAATTCGTTAGTCAAGAAAAGCACCAGGAAAGAATCCCATTTACGATAGAATGACCCGACATTGTTGTTGCACATAGAAATATATTTTTCGGCATAAAAATATCTCTGTAAATAATGTTTGAAAACTGAAAAGGTAGGCACTTTCGTACTCATTTTCATTCTGTAGATATGAAAGCGGCAAATTAATGAAATTAGATTGACAGCTTTATCTTCAATGGCGGTTCCACCAAATAGGAATACTTCATTATCCGAGTTAATACAACAATTCGTCTTTTCCTTGATCCAGTAGACTACTACAAACCAAAAGGATAGTGTGTGAATACATGAGCAAAATAAATGAATGAGAGTTTCCCCTTCGGTTTTACAAAAGGTACACATTTTGGAGGTGGACTTGTTTATTTTAAACAGGAAACTATTTGTGCCTAATATTCTATGCGTTAATCTATATTGGAACCATCGTAACCTGCTATGCACTGTACATTTAAAAGGAATGATAAAAATGGACGACCATTTAGAGAAATCATAATCTATATGAAGCTTGCCATTCCACTTTGTTGTAAACGTATGAGTGATTTTCTTACAAGACGTCAGCACCGAAAACATTCTACAGGAGCCTTTCTTGTCCCTCAAAAGAGTACCTAAATTGAAAGGTTTGGCAGGAAATTGGATAACGCATTGATCTAAATTCGATAAATTTGGAAATGCTATCTTAACCGCCCTAATTACACCTCCGTATTCCCAAAAATTAGTTCTAACATTAAACTTTGCCTTATATCCATCGCATGAAAGAAAGTTACCGTTTTCATCGTTTTCAATAATTCTGAATTTTACTGTATCTCGGGAATAGTGCGACAGAGGTCAAAATACACAAACTGAATCCTCATTAAAATGCCTCTTTTTTAAAAAAAAAAATCAATTTGTCACACATAAGCCCGAGGCCCATTTTTGCAGAGCCAGTCACATTTTTCTTTTGCTTTTTGCAAACATGCAACGCAATGTTGCTCCTTTTCTACGCATTTTTCCAGAGTTTCTTGCATGTTTTCAAAGTGACCTATGGCAGCCTGCAGGTACATCTAAACATAGGATCCAACCAGGGCTTTCCTTGTGACCCTTGACATGTTGTGTCAGGATCTATTTATATCTGTGGGTGATACCTGACCTAGGATTTTATCAAGAGTCGTCGGGGAATCTTTGGTCAGGGAACCAGGCTAAGCAGGGTAGGAAGTTCTTCAAGCAGGCTCCTGCCAAACTCGACTCCACATTATGGCGGACGCAGCAGGAGGGTGGTATTTGGTTTGGGTAAAATCTTTTGCTCACGCCATTTTTACCACAGACACAATGAAAATCAATGATATGGACTATTCCGAGGAGGTGCCACCGGTAGCACCGCAATCACGATCGCACGCCCGTTCTCAAGCTTGAAGTGAGCGGGCTTTGGCAAATTGGGACACCCAAAGAAGAGGCATCAATTATCGTGGATATCATTCGGTGCGTTCGATCAGCTTACACGTCGTGTCAGTCATAACTTACACACGAGAGCGTTCGTTTAGAACGTGACCTTTGTGCATGCCGTGGTGTCAGCTACCACTACCCCGGCTGGCGAGCCGGTCTCTGGAGGCTGCCCGAGTGTAATGACGTCACCGATGGACTGTTCAAGCGTATCGTATGGACATGATGGAACGTGCAGGGACTTGACCTTTTTCCCAGAATGCCTTGGCGAATACGCTAGAGCGTTCGATTAGCCTCATTTCGAGGCGTACCTTGCGTGTAACACTGGTGTATTCAGGGAAGCTAAGCGAACGCCCCGAATGATTACAGTCTATGCAAAACACACCCTCTTGTTCGAAACAGGGTAGCTGTGTAGACTCGTAATGTAGTCTAGCTTATTAATAATTCATTCCCGTGTATCATGCATTAAACATATGTGCGGCAACCAATCAGAAGTGTGCATTACCTGGCGCTGGCCGCGTGGGTTGCGAGGACTTCACAAGATGGCAGCGTGCTGACAAGTAGACGAGAGCTCTGCGGAGTTGAATCAACCACTGAGGCATGTTCTTGAACTGACGTACGATCCCTGGTGGTTGGGGGCTTTGGTCTACTAGTACGCACCTCAAGTGCGCCTGATGGTGCGATCGGTTAGTGTGGTGCTTGCTCTCAGTTGTGGGAGATGCCGATTATTTAAAATCTCATCGGAGATTGGGGGATTGTTAGACAGTCCGGTTTATTCAAGGAGTGTTGGATCATAAGGCTAGGGAACCTGGGTGAACCAGTTAAGTGGGGAATTAGCGAAGCTTAGGCTGTAGGGATTGCATGCCGTTGTTCCATGTTGGCGTAGCTACGGTTGATTGCTGCCCTGGTCCGAGAGCTTGCTTTCCACGTTGAGGTTTACCGGGTCAGGTTTCCGACAGAGCTCAGTGAGGACTATTTTAATCACCTTCTTAATCAACTGACCCGTGTTATTTAATAACAGCTTGAAGTGGGTGAGGGTTACACTTAACTTAAGTCACTTTAAACCTTGTTGCAGTTGGGAACTGTGTTGCTTAGTAAGGCAGTAGAGATTATCGTTGTATAATTCTGTAGTGCTGTGTAGTTACGAAGGTTGCCTTTGCTTATGTGATCAATTTAGACTCATCGGTTATAAGCCTACGGTATATTATTTACTTGAGAGTTGCCTGGTCTTTGAGGGTTACCTGGTCACTGAGAGTTACCCTGGTTATTGTGAGGGCTTCCCTGGTTGCTGTGAGGGTTACCCTGGTGTGTGTTGATACTCGAGCTTCCTAATTAATCACGTTAGTGGTGCAGTTGCCATAGGACGACTTACCCGCGAGGATCAGTTGTACATACATGTAATTAATTGCCTTTGTGTGTAAACTGTAGAGTACCGAAGTGTGACGTCACTGTGAACCAGAAAGTGCAGTGCAAACGAATGGAGTACGCGCGCGTGCTGGTTCACGCGCTCATGCCTTTTACACACTAATTGTGCGCGTGACGTATTCAATTCGGTACTCTATAACTGAAGCTCTGACATTGAATAAACCAATCATATAATTGCCTTTGAAATCACTGGTCACCGTATTCAGTCCGTTGTCTTGTATTGGCTTTAATTGTAACCTTTATTGATTAATTAATTAATCACAGAGCGGTGGTAAACTTCCGCCAAACGAACAGCCCCTAAGGCATAGTCCACTGTTCGTTAACTGGTACCCCCCCTTGCGTTTGGATAGGCGCTCATTCTTGCGTATATAAGGTTTAATAAAATATTTGTGGGGTTAGGCCAGGTCAATTTCATCTCCGATCAGGCCAGTCTGCTGGTCTGCCACAAAAGGTGTCAGTTGTCCCGCCACAATAACAACCAGAAGTTGACCAGTGCTCATTGTAGATGTTAAATGTTACAATAACATTTGAAACAAAAGGATTCTAAGCAGATCGACAGAATTTCAATATATTTTATTGTGACAAAATGTATCATCATTTTAGTCGATTATTCGACTATAACAGTTCATTCGATCTACGAAAAACCTTCCTAAATGCTTCTTGTTGCTTGTAGAGATTTCCAACACATTTCATAACGCACAGCTGACGCTAATCTAGACGGGACCTTCATTATCCATCCCACCCTCTCCAAAAGCAGGTCAAGCTGTTGCATCAGGTTTTGGAATCACTACTCCATAAGACCTCAGTAACCAAACTCAGGAAAATACGGTTAACCATAAGGTTCAGGTTTGTGAAGAGGAGACATTTTAAGTCTATTCAAAACACACATGGGCTACCTATACTTTTGGTGATAGATGTTACATGGTCAGTATCTGTCCATTCAGTTTACAGTCAGTATTAACGTCAAGATATCTACAAAATAGTGATTTGTTCCAGATGATAACCATTTACAAAAAGATCAGTATTGGGGTGATCATATCAAGCAAAATGTAGGGCCGAACCAATCAGCATGCTTTCAAGGTTATGATCCTTGTTAATCTATTACCATTGAGTCAATTCAGTATTTTTTGCAGATTATGGTATAGGTCTACACATTACAAGTTAGCCTGATGATATATCTTTACTTCAACAAAATGTACGGAATTATCGGTAGAAAGGGCAATTTTAGTATGCTCAGTTAAAGATTTGATATAAGCAAGCACGGAAAATCATAACGAGCCCTAAACAGTTACTTGCGGACTCCAAAACTGATAACACCAGGTTTTTATTGAATAAAACATTCCACATTTTAATTACTGGTATCATTCCGCATCATTCTAACACTTGTACTGTGCATATCATGATCACGAGCAAGATTTTATGATTTTCCAGGGTCATGAATTCTACCAACTTCATGTATTAGAGTAACCTTGGCACGAATTCCATTCTTCAGGAACACTATCACAAAAAGTACATTATCATGATGATGAATATTACATTATCCTGATCTACTTAATATACCAGTTCACTAATTAATAAGGGAATAAATAGGTGCTTGATGAATCTTAAACGTTCATTTTAATAAGACCGGCTCAGGAGAATGGGCACGACTAATGCCCAGGCCACGGGCAAGGGCGTTATCAGCTTTCGTTCTCCTGAGAAGTCAACATATGATGGATTTCCAACAATTCAGTTCTGAAACTTTACTTTCATTTTCCCGAACACCCCAGTCCATTTTGTGGTATGTTCCTTTTGGAAGCTGTCCAATATAATCCCCTTCAATGAACTTGGCACGCGCGTGACGCGTCGCGTACACACCTGTGAGCGATTTCGAGAACGAGTGGATTCGGCTTGGACTTTCGTTTCGCTGGTTCCAGCCATTTTGAAGCAGCGTTCCAAACCACATGTTCATGGTCTCCTATACCCAAGGTCAACCCATTAGGCACATTAGTTCTGTCACCCTCCCCTATATAGGCAATACCTCCCACCGGATCCAGCTCATCCTTCTACACCATGGCATCAAAGTCTTCCATACCGCCCCAAACAAGATCCAAGCAGCTCTCCAGTCTCACAAGGACAAGCGAGACCCCAAGACCAAGCCAGGCGTCTACAGGATCCTCTGCGAATGCGGCAAGGTGTATATCGGCGAGACTGTCTAGAGATCTCACTACCAGACTCAATGAACACCGAGCCCACGGACGACGGGGGGATCTCGAGAAATCTGCCATCATCAAACACTCCAGCACTGAAGACCACCAAGTCCACTGGCTACAAGCCCATCTCATTGCCAACATAGAACAATGCATGCATCCATGCCGTGTTCGTGAAGCAATTGAGATTCACAAGAACAGAACAGTTCCGCAAAACACAGGCTTCATCATCAGTGGCAACTGGCGCCCCATCCTCAACCCTTCTTACTTCGCCTTATGGGTCCTCTATACCCTTGGCACCCTGCCCCAGTTCTTCCTTTAGTCTGCCTATGGGTCCTCTATACCCTTGGCACCCGTGTTTACCCATCCACACCCCTATCAGTACTGCCACACCTGAGTAAGTTTACCGCCACGCATCACCAAGCCAGCCTAATCCCTTCTCCAGACTTCCTGGTCCCGCCTTCACGCATCATCGGACTAATCCCTGTCTCCAGAATCTTCCACCAGACTACTTAAGCTCCACTCCCAGTCAGTATCCGGCATTCTCCTGATGACGAGCAGAGCATACTGTTCGAAACGTCGTGTACCACTGGTTCTTTTCAGAACCGCAAATACAAAGAGATACGTCCATGGTGCTACTGCAAACTTACTTCCTATTATACCTCTTCACCATGCAAACCTCCAAGACTTAGCCATATTAAGAGTTTTCTATGCAGCTCAAAGTAGTTTATTACGCAAATTTGGGTATGCTCCACTGATTCACATTGGGAGTGCAGTATGTACAGCAGGGCAGACACACCCAAGCTTTCTGTGTGAATAGACATGCATGCACGCACGCACACATGCAAAAACAAACTCACGCACAAACTGTGTGTGCCAGTTAATGCTTATAAAATACAGTGCATTTCAGATGTACATCTTCGAAGAATGATAGTTGCCAGTTGGAAAACTGTAAGTGAAACCTTATTTTAATCCTTCAAATTACCTGCATTATTCTATGAGCAAGTAGTTTAGAGTATTTTTGTGTGCCTTACTTTGCCAGATTTTAGCGGGAAATATAAAATTAAGCGGTTTATACTCATCTTATGATATCCATTCCCATGAAATTATGATAGAGGCCGGATTGCTGTTTTCATGTTCTTTGAAGAATTTGTACATAGAAAGTCTTTTTTCCCCTTATTTAACCAAAGGGTTACCTGGTAGGGCCAGCATAGTGGTAGACACTTGGCCCCGCCCACAGGGAATACTGCCTGTTGGGCTATCAAAATGTATGCCAAGACTTTTGGGGGACAATCTGGTATGGAGCCCGTCCGCTCTGGGTGGATGCCCCGTTCTGTGTGAACGCTATGCTTGGGTAGGATGCCCCGTTCTGTTTAAACAACCGTACTTGGGTAGGACGCTTTGATGGACCCCTTGTTCTGTCTGAACGCCCCGCTCTGTGTGGACCCCTTGTTCTGTCTGAACGCCCCGCACTGCGTGGACCCCCTGTTCTGTGGGAACGCCCAGGTATGTGTGGACCCTCATTCTCTGTGATCGGCCTGAGATTGTGAACAAGCCCAACTCTTGGAGGACTCTGGTGTGAACGTTCACTGCCCTGGGGACACCCTTTCTAGAAGGCCAGCAACATTTATCACCTGGGGGAAGTATAGGGTGTCAGCTGGACCATTATAATAGCTGATACCTGTTGAGTGAGGTTTATGTAAATTTAAGATTGGAAGTAATTGTAAATATATACATGTATCATATTTTGAGCTGAATTGTATTTTGTTATTGTATTTGCAAACTTTGGGTATTGTTTTGTGGCTTGACTTGTCCTTGTCTTGTGGCACCCTAGTTTCAACGGTTCACTGTGACCTCACCCGCGGGAAGCACAGGCCCGTGATGTGACACTACCGCAAACCTATCTAGTTTACTTGCTAACTCCACTATGAAAAGCTTCAAATCTCATCTTACCATATCTGAATATTACATTCCGGATATTTCATGCAATACATGTGTACAGTATTTATAAATATCATTTAAAAATTAACCACATCTATAGTCGCAAAACATTGAACTTTCACAAATTTCATTTGTAAGTTCAATATCAGTCGAGTTGAACAATATCAACTGCCACATTGCCAAAAATGTCCGTCTACGAACTTTTACGTACGAACTGACACGCCGTAGGAAGATTAAACGGGAGATGCGGGAGACTTGGGGAGATCAGACACAAAAGAGACTAATAAAAATAAACGAGTGTCTTGTATTCTCGATCCCTCCTCGTTTTTGTTTTATCAAACATTAATAGTGGTTATATTTTTACCCTGCCGCTATGCGCTGTCAAAGAAGTTATAATTATGTCACATTATTCTATCTAGGTTCATGATGACCGGTAAAGAAAGTTTCAAGTTGGATTCATGTGGTCCCTCGATTCCTTCGGCTTACTGCTCTTTGCGAGTGGTGCGTGATGAAAACACCCGATCCGAGTACTCATTTCTGTCGACAAAATGTAACTTTGGTGGCATGTAAGTTGCCAGACACAAATATGGAGTGTGCCCAAGCTTCCTCGCGCAGTGTATTGTAAAATGGAAACATATTTTGAAAGGTTATTTGAAATTCCCAATTTTGTAACCTTTTGTTAATGACATTATGCGAAAATACATTTCCGGTATGCTTATAACATGGAATTTATCTTAAAGCACTACCCCGATGGGTAGTCGGGTCTCAGGATCTGGCATTAGCCCAAATCCAGCCCCTCCCCCCAACAAAAAAGGAGAAAAACAGCAAAAAAAAAAAAAGATAAAAGAAAAGGGAATGGAAATCAACAGCTTGCTTGAAAAAAATCTAAATTCCTTCACTGGTGTTTATCAATTCGTTGCTGATAAGAATACTTACTTCTACCTTTGGAAATATCACCCTTGGAAAGAACGACCTTTGCAGCCCCACCCCCCGGAAAAGTCCTGAAGACGTCCACAGGGCGTATTAAGCAATCTGCCTCTTGCTAGGCATACAACAAACTCTAGGTTTTCCCGGCCAGTTTCGGAAAATGTATAAATGAATTAGTAATGGCAGCATTTGTTTTCAAGTGAAATGGCATGAACATTCAACCCCCCGTTTCTATTTAACAAAAAAAATTCTATTTCAGTGAGGGTGCATTCAGTTGCATAAGTCAGTGTTCAGTTTCTCGATATTGCACTGGTTTAGAATGTTGACATTCATTTTTGCGCAAAATTGAATGCACCTCTGCAATTTTGATTCATCTTGATATGAAGTCAATCTAGTTCGCAAAATGTTCAGGTGATTTCGCACGAAGTGTTATTTACGGTATGCCTGGTCAAGAATAGGAGTAGACCGCTTCACTAATAAATTTATAATTATGTACACATCCGCACAAATGGCCTTGGCGGCAAGAAGTGTGAGCGGGCCATTGAAAATGTACAGGGGTGGGACTTCGAAGATCACTTTCTCTCAGGTTTTCTGGCTTTGTTCAGTTTTTTCTTCAGAATATTCCATTAAATCGTTTTTGCTATTAGTTTCTAATTTAAGTGGAATTTTTAGTGCTCTGTAAAAAAGTTTTTAAAATTGTAATTTTTCCTGTGCCCACGAGATCGTCGTTTCTTAGTATGGCCCCCTTCCGTCATAACCAGTATAAACTACACCAGTAGCGTTCTTGAAACCAACCTGTGCATTTGTAAAAACGTGTATTTTCGGTGAATAAAATTGCACATTGGTTACAGTTGGCAACGAATACGTCAAATCGAAATCCTAATCACTTATTTGTAACCTCTTAAATGAAATGTAATGCACATTCATTTATTTGAAGGATGCAAAACGAAGTCGAATGTTCGAATTGCCAAAATGAAACCAGGTTCGAACTCGTTTTCAAAATCCACGCCAAATTGAAGTTTTATTTTACGAATTGAAAAGCGTGTTTTCCAAAATTGGACGGGAAAACCTACATAATCAGATGTTATTGGCCGAGGAGAATGGATACTCCCTGCAAAAGGCATGGGACATTATCGGCGTCTATTCTCATCTGACCGGCCAAACACGATTTCCATTTATACAGTTTGCACTAGGAACTCAAAAAAGTTTAAAATTATTTCTAACCGTTAGTTCAACAGGCTCTTGATCAACAGGAAACTATCTTACGTAATTATAGAGAATTATCACCAAAACAAAATTAAAAAGTTCCCAAGTGACTGTGAACTAAGAGTCAGTAACGTTTCTGTTACGCTACAATCAATGTTCTGACACCTGTTTTGTAAAAACACAGTTACAGCTACGGTACTAAAATGGAAACCGAAGTGCAACTTGCCCAGGATGTAACCACCTATTCCAAGCAGAAGATTGTCACCAAGCTTGCAAGCAGGAGACCAGTGGAAGACAGTAGATAGCTTGCTCCGGCTGAATTTAAAAACGACAAATCAAAGGTTTATGAACAAGTGCTAATACCCCCACCTCGTTACCTTTTTTTGAACAAAATGAAGTTGAAACCTAAATGTAAGCCTACATTCCGTCAGTGTCACGTTAACGGCGTTCCAAAATCTAGGCACAAAATGGCCGCCGAGTTTTTCAGGTCATTAATAAGAACAAGCCCGCTTTCCTCTCAAATTAAACTTCATGTCAAACCCACTGGAAATTACTACTGGGAAAATTCTGGGGAAAGCAAACCAGTTCACAAATTGGGATTTTGTTTTTTTAGAAAATATGATTGTCATACTCTCAACAAAAACAGTGCACGTCAGACACCGTGGAACTGCCCATACCATATGCCCCTACCAAGCTGTGCGACGAAAACAGCTAAAGAGTTTGATTGGAAGGTATAATTATAAATTCCCAAAGTGAAAACTGCTTCTGAACGAATACAGTGTTTTCACTATAAACCTCCACTGCTTAGTTTCTGTTGAGGGAAATGGATTCTAACTCTATTGGAGTGACAGACTTCAGTGAGCTATACGCAGTAAGACATCTATGTCTGTGTCAAACGTAATAGAAGTCCGAATGTCATGAAATGCTATTTGTGTGGGGCATGGCATTTTATCAACTACTGTTATCATCCTTCATACATATTGTGGGGGAGTTACCAAGACACCCCGGACTTAGTGTTCCCCTGGTGGTCACTCAGCGAGTGTGGTACTCCTTCAGGAAAACCTACGACCGGAGGGGCAGGCCCGTTGGGTGGAAGTGTACCGCCTAATGCACAGGGCTGACCGGACAATGCCTCAACAACTTCCGCGGGGACAGACAGGGCAACTTCGGACAGGACAAGAACAGACGGGACAAGTAACTATACTGAAGCCTCTTTTATTCACACCCCAATCATACAAGACGATTTGAGCCTCCAGGTGGTCACTATAATGTGGTACCCTCAAAGGACTGTTGGACTTCAGTTGCAAAGCCTCTGCTAAGCGCTACCGTAAATAGCCTCCCGGTACCCTCGCGCCTCCAAGTTTGGACCCTCCCTTAAGGTAGCCTCCAGGCTACAAGTGTTCTTCCCAAGGGTACTCCACACCCCTAAGAACCGGAACTAATCCCGCCTAGTTCCCTCCCCGGTATCCCACCGTGGTCCCACTTGGGTATGCACAAAGGCACACGCTCGAATCCACGCAGCGCTTCCTGTAGCCTCCTATATACCTGAGCACAGCTTCTGTAACTTTATTTACTTTTCATTTGGCCTTGTTTCTTTGGTTGTGTGCACATTTGTGCCTTTTGCCTCCAGCCCCTAGCACCACTGCATCGGATTTGTGCCTGCTTGTTTTTATGTTTAACTCTAACCCAAAGCAGTTATATTGGGCCACGCCCCTTAGGTCGTTTAAACACTACACAACCTTTTCCTACATACGTTCTTCTTCCTTTATAATTGTAAAGTATTAGTCTATAAAATATACATTGTCTGGAGGGCCCTCTGGAAATCCTGTGTTGCTGTGTGTGTTTTTTTTGGGTGTTAAATTTGTCTTAATTTTCGTTCACTGTTTTTTTTTGGTCAGTCGCTGCCCATTTGGCCACGCCCCACCGCTAAGTGAACTAGTTACCACTCGGTCCGTTACAACATAAAAAGATGGCGACACACGTATACGATATCCCATAAGGCAGATGATATATTTTCATAATGGCTCGTGGCATGGTAAAATAAAATGTGACACGTATAAAATGTATGTACTGAAAATATGTAGCATATGACAGTTGATATTAGCTACCCCCTCGGCAAGGGAAGTTGGTTAACTAGTTGGCAAACGGAGCCAACTTCCCATGCCGAGCAAAGCGAAGCCAACCTAAAACCATGTTAATTAGTACATTTCTTCACAGTAAAAAGACTGGGTTCGGCAATGCAGTGGGCAATAAAAAACACATAATCAACCATTGCAAGTTATTCGAAGAAGGAATACGGTGATCTTACCACTACATACAAGGAGGATGGCGTTGTCCTGAGTGCATCCGTGTTGGTACCACTGTCCTCGACTACACTGGTCCAAGGTGACTTCGTCCCCGGTACATGATACACCTCCCAGAAACATCGGTCCCCTGCCCAGGTATTTATTCGCCTACACACCCACACAAAAGGTCATCCATGGCTTAAACTATATACACTATTTCTTTTAAAAAATGTAACTGTTAAATTAGTATTTTGGTCTCTTTAAGCAGAAAGAGGGATTCAAACCTTACATACGCCCTAGAAATAACTGCTTAGGCTCTAATCTTGTCTAGATGACATGACCAATGTCAAAGTGCCGGGGCCTCGTACTTCATGATGAGAAACTGGGATACAGGTATGTACTAGCTAGAAGGAGGTTTTTCCAAAATCGACAATTTCGATAAAAAGACGCTTAAAGTTGATTCAAAAACTTTTCTTTTATAATGTACACAGAAATTGAATAATGAGTACAAAGTGTTTTTTATACATACGTTGAGGGCAAACCCAGTATAAATGTTGCGACAGCCATCTTTTGCGACCCTTTTGAGTCATGGATGCTTCATTTTTTTGAGAATGGAAACATGGCTACCCGCTATCAAGTCAAAACATAGAGACGGATTCATTTGTCGACCTGATTTTCGTTTTTGTCTGGTCGGTATGATCGGTCTTGCTGGTCTGATCGGTCCTGTCCATCTGTTTGCTTGTTTGTTTGTTTGTTTGTTTGGTTGGTTGGTTGGTTGGTTGTTTGTTTTGTGGTAACTTTATCACAAAACTATCCAGGATAGCTGTCCAAATCGACCAATTATTTGAAAGTTGAAATATCGCTGATCGAACTTGCCAGAGACTTTAATGTCTTTTTAATCGCGTGGAATATCCTAACCTCTGTATCCACTCGCTGTGTATTGGCCCTAACACGTAATCTAAATCACTTTACGAATTTTCAAAGAAACTTTTACCGATTTCGGCGGCCCGAACCCAAGCTCCCTACAGGCCACTTGGGAGTTTGCGTCGGACCAGTCTTCGCCACAAACCGCTCCCCATCGTCCATCATGGTAGATTAGCAGTATGCCCACCTCCATGTCTGAATAACTTAAAAGTCTGATAGGGTTGCGGGACTCTGTGAGAAACAGAAATGAACTATTGCGGCCTCTGTCATCGCTTCATTTGAAATGCAAGAACTCTTATTTCAAACAAATTATTATTTGATCAGTTGATGATTGCAGGTGGAATATAGTTAAAACTACGTAATATGTCAAGTGACCGAGAATCTTACAAGAAAATCAAGATACCTGGTATTGGACCGCTGCAAATGACATTTGCCTCGAAAGTACTGTCCCAACTCAAACATCTCTGATTGGGCTTCTCATCTCCCACAAAGCACTGTGCAAAGGATGATTCACCGCCGCTACAATCGATTAAACCACTCATGACCACCGGACCAGAGCCGCGTCCAAAGCGGCCATCCGAGGGCGCATCCAGGCCGTAACCTAGCCCCAGCTGCTGGCAGATGACGTTAGTCGCCTGGTACGCAAACTCGTAGTTAAGCCTCCGTACGCAGACGCTCCCCCAAGAGCCGTTGAGGTAGACTTCAAGTCGGCCCTCGTTTGGGTTAGTGCCATTCACTAGTCGTATCTGAAAATCTTCAGGCTCTTCAATAAAAGCATGAAAAATCACTTTTAAAGAAAATTCCGCATCCTCATACTTCCCAATATAACGTAAAACCCATGGAATTTGATACCTTTAGATTGGTACCCAAAATGATCAGCTCAGAACCACCTGATTTTGCGCAGAGATTTCAAAACAGAGCACGATCTATCAACAGAAACTGATGCAAATACCAACAATGCGTAAATGCAACTGCCATTACTTTTTGAACGAAGTGCAAATTCATCAAGTCTCCGCTGACGCTGCAAGTATACGTTACAAATTTATGCAAACTTTGAAACAACCTTCTTCACCTTTGACACGGTTACAAACGACTCCAGCCTGGTATCCGTTCGGACAGTCGTCCTGGAACCAGGCCTGGGCGGGACACTGGAGGATATGGCTCTCGTTGCCAATGCAGGAGAAGTTGGTGGCCAGGTAGGACACTTTTTCAGAGCTGTATGGTGTCTTGGGGTCGTGTCTCCCGAAGTAAAAGCCAGTTGTTGCCCGGTGCACCGAATCGAAGCCTTTCTGGCGGCAGATGACGTTGGCATCCGCGAGATTCCAACCCTGATCGCACAGTAGGAAGCGCCGCTCGTAGTCATCCGTGTACAGGTTCAGCAAAATGAGACCCTCCTCTTGATATGCCGCGTTTCCATCTCTGAGGAACACGTACATTACCTCCTTTATGATGTCAAGATCTGCGTGATTTTTCAGGTAACAGAGAAACAAAATAGACTAAATTGAAAAAAAAAGAGATAGAGTATAAATAAATATCATGCACATATACCTTCAGAAAAAGATCCGGGAAATGAAAAAAGATGACAAACGTTCAAATAACACGTGCGGCCATCACTATGGGCCTCAAGCTGGACCAAAAGAGGGCGCAATTTCCTCAGGAACAGAGGCTTCTTTGGCACTAACTACGCATCGCTGGTTCACGAAAGACTGGGAAACGCAAGCGTTGCAGTCGTATCGCTACCAACAGAATGAACACTCCCAACCAACGCTGCTCTTTTCAACCGACAAGGGGGTGCTTCTGCTCGAGGCGGATACCCTGTACGCAACCCAACTCCAAAACCTCCAAACGGAAAGTTATCCCATATCTTGCCATAAGGCTAGTTTAAATTTTGCCACAAAACGCAGCGTCCACGCAGCAATACCCAGTTTGCAAGATTCTGTGGCCCGCCAACGGCTCGTCAGAGGCAAAACGGGCGGCAAACCATCGGCAGACGCTGGGGTCTATACTTGGTCCGTTTTCATCGATCAGTCGACAGATCCCCCGTAAGCAAAGAAACGAATGACCAGTGGGCTTCCAGCGGTCAAACAAAGGACAATTGTTGGTTGACCGGTCCACCACTTTATGAGTATACGTTTTGAAGGTTACGAATAGTTTAAAGCAGCAAGTTAATAATAAACCAACGAGATTAATATCTGGTGACTTATTTGGACAGAGTCCTAATAACTCGAGTCAATAACTTGACTCGAGTCAGACTCGAGCCACAATTTCTAGCGACTGGACTCGACTCCTGACTCGTATAGGCCTAAATGACTCAACTCGACCCTAGTATTAAACTTCGAGCAAACGACTCGACTCATCTTGAGTCCCTCGTCAAAAGACCTGACTTGAGGGAAAGTTATAAGACTCCAGCCCCCCCAAAAAAGCAAACACCTTTGCGATAGAAAATATTTGCAATGACTCATATTGGCGGTTTATAATGTCATGTGTTTTATCATTCAAAGTAAGATGTGGTGTGACCACATGTGGAAACCCGGAGGTAAATTTTAAAATATAAAAAATATAACTTTCTCTCTTGTTTTTATTCATGGTACTGTGTTCAAATATTGGTGACTAGAGTTGGCACGAGCTAAATATTCGAATCGACTCGACTTTTGGCCTTTTGACTCGATTCAACTCGAGTCACAAAAATCAAGACTCGTTACAACTCCGTAATTGGAGAGGTGACCTGTGAAATCAGGATTATTTATTACATTATATAAGTATGTTAAAGTTCTAGTATCTGTGAGGACCATACTGACGCGACCACAACCGTTACTTAAAGCATTTGGAATGTGCATTGCTCCTAAGCTTTCAAAATCGTTTTCGGTATCTGTCTGTAACTCACTCTTGTCTTTTCTGTGATTATGGATGGGTTGAAATAAACTGCATTATCCTCTAAAGAATAAAAACATTACGCAGACAGTGAAAAATATGTCAAAACTGCCTTAAGAATGGGTTGTCGACACATCTGTGACCCACATGCAAATTTAGGTCTGAAATATAAGCTATCAAGTGGAGTGGAACATGGCATTGTAGTCGCCAACGCTACCGGTGGCGCCAGTTAACGTCAATATACTATAGGTGATCCGCTGGCCCAGCTGGCTGCAGGGTTATGTTTTACTCATGGTTTTATTCATGGGTAGCAACATGACATTGTTGCTTGAAAGTGACGGCATGTTTAATAGGTGGAGTACAAAATAATGGACGTAAGGATACCTCTAAATTCCTCCTGGTCAAGGCATGTTACGGCGGCCGCGTGGCTGGTGTCCGCGCACTGATGCTGCATCCAACCATCGTGCGGACACTCCTCCAGTCTGGACTCTGGCCCCTTGCACTCTACGTTACTCAACCACACCGGCCCCGTCCCGTTGCCTGCATCATGCTTCCAGCCGTTCCTTGCAAGCCAGGGGAAGCCAAGTTGCTTGCACACCACCAAAGCGTCAAAGAAGTTCCACCCGTCCTTGCAGATAGTGCCCCATTGGCCGTTGTTCAGGACCTCAACTCGGCCCTGTTTCCCGCCAATATTGGATAGACGTAAATCGTGTTCTGTAAATGAAAACATTTAGAGTTTAGCGTTTAATTTTCTCATTTCTCACTATTGCTCATTTAAAAACAAAATTAAATTGGCATCCGACTTCATTCATCAAACTGAGGAACACATGACCTCGTATAATAACGCGGGATTTGAGTTTTGTCCGCGGTCCATTGAATTTCAATCGGAAGTCCAAGCTGATCACTATGTGGCGCTTTTGTAGAATCGTAATTCGTTGCAATTTTAATATTTTCGAAGTACAGACTAAAAGCAAGCCGAGAAACAATATACCGGAAGTTTGATTTTTTAAAAATCTTTTTACCTCCTACCTTTTTAACTAGAAGCTAAATCATACTGGTTAAACGAGTCACGTTTGGAAACCCAGGCAAAGGTTAAGACGACGAAGATAAGCCGACTGTAAACATGTCTTGCCTAACCTCCTCCAATATTAAATAGCCTGTACAATATTATTAGAACAGAAGCCAACACCTAACAGGGTGTTGCACTCTGATAACACCGATGGTGTTAAATTAAGACCAATTTAACAACGCCATGTTAACATTACCCTTCTGTTCCAGAAGGTAAGACAGCTATCGGCCTTTTGCAACGACACAAAGTTTTATCACAATACCAAATTTGGTATCCAACGGGGCGGGGAGTAACATCCCAGAGGGAGCTGGGAAGCTGCCAACAATTTTCACCTTTTTTAATCAGGGCTCTTTCGTAGATACAAAATACTCAGACCTACAATCGTTTCATGAATGAATCTCAAACTGACTACTGAATACCAAACTATGTTACCAGCAATACCAATTTGATTAATGATTTAAATTCTACAGCAAACCAATTTGGTTTTCAATTTACCTCCAGACTTCCCGAAGTAATCATCGACATCAATTAGAGAGCGAGTGCTTATTACATCACAGGTCCAGGAGAAACAGGCAATTAACAATTACATGGGCATACACATCAGACTGTAGAGAAAGGAATCAGACTCGAAACTGGCACAGAAGCAAACCCATGGTTAGTCTCTAATGAAAGCCCCCGAAGGAGGATTTAATTCGTCTTCGATGCTCGTTATTAGGAGCTGACTACACGCCCCAACTACAGTTTGTGTCCCAGTTATGGTGCTGCAGTTGGGACGACCCAAATCATGAGCCAGGGCCAGGATGTTCCTCATAGCTTACGCTGTGCCAATGTCTTTTCATTCATATCAACACAAAGTGCTGGCGAAAATTGT